GGAGGTGGTTCCCCCTTCAATGAAGACGGTTCCATTGAAGTGGAGCCGGCTCCATACTGATTTTTTTTTTTTTTTTTCGGCAAGTTTTTGGTTACTGTTGTTGGATTTTTGATGTTCCAGGTATAATTAGGACTGTAGTGGGGAATTTAAATGATGTCTAAGGTCATACTAAGACTCTAGAGGACATTATAATGCGTAATAAACAATATAGAATTAGTGGCTTGAACAATATGAACTTTTAATTAAAACTGCATATTGTGCTTAGATGTGGATGATTCAATTTACTACTTGTATATTGGCAATTTATTTATGTATGATATAGTTTTATCATGTATCTAGGATATAAAATAAGTATGTTAATTTACAGAATTCTACTATGCTTATTATGGATTAATTGATATCTACATTTATTGTTAGTATTGTCAATTATTGGTTTCTGTGAAGTGGTATAAAATAAACATGTCAATTTACATATTTTGACTCTGCTTATTGTGGATTAATTGATATTTACAATTATTATCTGTATTATCAATTACTGGATGTAGGATTGTATGCACCGGTATGGGACAGTGACATACTAGGGACGGATTAGTTTCAAAATACTAAATCCTACCTATTTTAGAATAAGGGAATGGATATTAAAATAAAATCCTACTTATATTTAAGTCAGATCAACTAAGTAAGTTGAGTGACTAACTGGATTATTTGTTATTTCTGTTTAGGTCAAATCAACTGAATAAGTTGAGTGACTAACTGGGTTGTTATTATTTATGTTAGATCAATGAACAATTGAATGACATAATCTGGTTCTAGATGGATTTTAAATATATGATTATGGTACGAAGATTTGAGCTTGAGTCTTAGAATTGATGGTTAGGGAGCGTATATGCATTGGGATGCATAGCTGACTATAACGGTTGAGGTGTACCTTGTTATGTCTAGATACTTATGCCCACCACTGGTGCGTTTTGCATGTTGCCTTCTATTCAGGTTGAGACCCCCTTTGTAGTCCAGTGAGAGTCCCTTAGTGTAGATATATATATATATATATATATATATATATATATATGTATGGATTAGATAGATATTGTTGAGATATCTAGGATGTATCTGCGTATCGGGTCTTTGTTTGGATTGTAGTTAGAATAGAACTTGTTCGTGAGCCTGACCCACTCTTATTTTTCAAGTGTTCGACAGTTCCAGCCTTAGAGCTTGATCGTGCTGAGCAGAGACAATCACTCATTCCTCCGATTACGTAGGGTTTCTCTTTATGTTTTAGTTATGGATTTTATTTTCAGTTATTTGGTTAAAGTTGGGATTTTATTTAGAGGTCCACTAGATGGATTCCTGAGTTGTTCTCTTGGAGGTTTTGGATTGTCAGATTATTTTAATTATTTAATTTTAAGGATTTAATGTTTAGAATTCTTTCAGCTTGTTATTTATTCACTAAATTCTTTTGTATTCTGTGTTCATTTAAATATTAATTGTTTGGTATTCCCTCGGGTTTGGGCTTGGGCCTGATTAACCCATGTCTCATAATCGAGGGGTATCACAGGACTGGTTGTACCTATCCTTCTATTGTAGTTGTGATAAATTGGTATTTGGGAGCTTAAGTAAGAAAACAAGGATTTTATATTTTTGTCGCAATTCAATAATTTCTCCAATGAGCTGTATTGATCCAAAAGCTTTTAAATTTTTACCACAATTTCCTTTATACATCTAGTACTTTTCCATAAAATTTCATAATTTTTAGATCAGCAGATATTTTTATAACAATTCGATATTACCTGCTGTCCAGATTTTACATCTGCTGGAAATCAGATTTTAAATAAATTATTTCACCAACTTCTTGACACCGGATCTTTATCAAAACTTCCAAATTTATTCTTTCATAAGTCTACTATCAAAATAAATTTACTTTGCCAATTTCGGAGGTCAAACAAATTTTCTAAAAATTCCGAAGTATCTGTTGCCCAGGTTTTCTTCAAACTAAGTATTGCTGATTTACTTCTCAAATCTGATTTAATTGGAAAATCTTCAGCCTCTGTGAGTTACTCAGCTGTATTTCACTTTGAGTCTAGTTTTTAAATTATTTTTGTTTGTTCCGTTTTGATTTAAAATGAATTTTCTATGAATTTTAACTAATGGCAGTGCAGATTTTGGTTTGTAGATGATTGTGACGTGTTTAAGTTGATAATTATCAGAGTAGCACAACGGAAGTGTGTTTGAGGTTATTTAAGTAAATTTGAGACTATGAATGGACTATGGATTTTATATTGGATGATTGTTGATAATTTATTCAGACGGTTTCCGAATCATGTTTTGTTTGTGACCCTAATTTCGGGTCGTTACAACTTTGACTTGAGCTTCTCAAACTTTTTCTTTAAGCTGCTGAAAATAGTTCGGTTAGTTATCTCAGCTTGCCCATTTCCCTGTGAATGCCTAACTGCATCCAACCTCTGCCTGATCCCATGCTCGGCGAAAAATTTTCTTGTGCTTCTGTTATCCAAGTTCGGACCATTATCCATTATGATAATCTTTGGTACTCTAAATCGGCAGATTATGTTGTTCCATAGAAAGCTTTTGGCTTGCTCATTGGTCACACTTGAATAAGCCTATGCCTCTACCCATTTTGTGAAGTAATCTGTGGCTAGCAACACGTATTCCTTTTGTTCCACAATTTTGAGTAATGGTCCAACCTTATTAATCTTCCATTGTGCGAATGGCCATGGATTTTCAATTACGTGCAAGTCTTCCGCAGGCTGGTGTTTCATTGGACCATGTTGCTGGCATTTGTCGCATCTCCGAGCACACTCTTCAGCATTCTGAGCCAAGTATGGCCAAAAATAACCTTGAGTAAGGACCTTGTGTACTAAGGATCTGCCACCAGAATGGTTGCTACAGTCCCCGTCATGGATTTGCTTCAAAATCATAAGGGCCTCAGTGGGACTTAAACATTTCAGGTAGGAACCTGAAAATGACTTCCGATACAATTGATTATTAATGATAGAATATTTGGCTGCAGTGAGCCTGAGTTTCGGTGCCTCGGCCTTCTGGTTCGGAAGAGTTTCGTACTTGAGGTAAGCTTCTAGCGGATCCATCCAGCATGGTTCTCGTGGAATATCTGGGATCACCATTATCACCTACCGAGGGCTTATGCTATGTTCGTCCAAGATGTCAATTGGTACTATCCGAACCAAATCTTTGTTTGAAGAAGATACTGCGGCAGCCAATTGATCTGTTTCAGAATTCTCGTCCCAAGGTACTTGGTGGAATTCAATTTGATCGAATCCTCACGTAGCATTTTCCACAACCTCCTTGTATGCTTTCATTCTGTCTTCTTTGGGCTTACCTGTCACCTAATTCACAATAAGTTGAGAGTCATTGAAAATCTTTAGACACCTCACCTGGAGCTGGATTGCTAACCGAAGCCCGGCGAGCAAGGCCTCATACTCGGCTTCGTTGTTAGTAGTAGAAAAAGTTAGACAGATTGATTGCTGCAGCTTGGTGCCTTCAAGGATTGTGATAATGACTCTAGCCCCGGCACTAGTTAGGTTCGAGGAACCGTCTACCCGAAGCTCCCATTGTGGTTCAAGAGGGCATAGCTCTTCAAGTTTATCTTCATACTCAAGGAGGAAGTCGGCCAATGCTTGTCCTTTGTGTGACACCTTTGGTTCATAAGATATATTGAAGGAACTGAGTTCGATTACCCATTTAGTTATTCTTCCGGACAAGTCTGGCTTGGAAAGAATGACTCGCATGGGATAGTTAATAAGAACTGTAATGCTATGTGACTCAAAATAGTGTCAAAACTTTCTCTTTGCATACACCAATGCTAGTATGATCTTCTCTGCTTTATTGTACCATGTTTCAGCATCTGTCATTGTCTTACTTGTGTAAAAGACTGGATACTGATTCTTCCCTTCTTCTCTGATTAGTACTGCACTTGTGGCTATGCAGGAGATTGCTAAATACACGATAAGAGTCTCACCAGGCTTCGAAGCTAACAGAATTGGAGGTTCAGCCATATAGCACTTCAATTGATTGAGAGCAACTTGTTGTTAAGGTCCCCATATATCGTTGTTTTTTGATCTTATTGTATCAAAGAACGGTTTGCACTTGTCTGATAACCGAGAGATGAAGCGGCTAAGAGCTGCGATTCGACCGGTCAGAACCTGTACTTCCCTATGAGTTTTTGGTTCTTGATTTTGTATAAGGGCCTGAGCCTGAGCCGGACTTACCTCGATTCCCCTTTTATTGACAATATGGCTGAGGAACTGCCCTGAAAAAACTACAAAAGAGCATTTCGAAGGGTTCAGCTTCATGCTGTACTTTCTCAAAGTGTCAAAGACTTCTTGGAGGTGCTTGGAATGTTCTTCCTTTTTCACACTTTTAACCACTATGTCATCGATGTAGGCCTCGACCATCTTTCCCAACATCTCGTCGAAGATCTTGTTAACAAGGCGCTGGTAAGTTGCCCCAGCATTCTTGAGTCCGAATGGCATAACTCTATAACAGTAGGTGCCCTTCTCTGTTATGAAGGCAGTTTTCTCTTCATCTTCTGGATTCATAAGGATTTGGTTATAGCCGGAATACGCATCGAGGAATGTGAGTCTCTCAAAACCAGTAGTTGCGTCAATCATATAATCTATTTTGGGTAGTGGAAAGTTGTCTTTAAGGCAAGCTTTGTTGAGATTGGTAAAATCCATGCACACCCTCCATTTCCCATTCTTCTTCTTAACCACCACCACGTTAGAGAGCTATAGTGGATAATGCACTTCTCGGATGAAACCTGCCTGAAACAACTTGTTTACTTTTTCTACAATAATTCGATTACGTTTGGGAACGAACCTTTTGTGTCTTTGTTTAACTGGCTTAAACTCCGAATCCACCTTCAGGCTATGGCATAAGACTGAAGGATTGATTCCTACCATGTCTAAATAATCCCACGCAAATGCATCTGCGTTCTGTCGAATGACATCAATTAACGCTTCCTTTTCTTAGGCGGTGGGAGAAGAGCCTATATAGGTGACTTTCTGGGGATCGTCGAGGATTATTTCAACAGCCTCGAGAGATTCCTCGGTTAGTTTTATAGCTTTAGCTTCATCCCCTGCTTTCAAATACTTAGGCAGAGGACTCTATATTTACTATTTGGACATACTTCTAGAAGTCACAACTGGTTGGGACTGCTTAACTATCTTCTTTGCCTCATTCTGTGTCAACATGTAGCATTCTTTGGCAGCGATTTGATCTCCCCAAAGATTAATAACCTCCTTACCATCCGGAGACAAGCATCGCATCTCTTGATGAAGGGTAGACGGGACCCAGTTCATTAAGTGGATCCAGCCTCTTCCTATAATGAGATTATAAGAAGGATGTATCTCTGTTAGAACAAAGTTCTCCTTCAACGTCCTTTTTGCCGCAGTGACAGATAAATTAATCACCCCAAGGGGGTCTACCTTCGTGCCATCAAACCCCATCAAGGGATTGGAGGTGGGCCAGATTAATGTTGACGGGATCTCCAACTGCTCAAAGACTGTCTTGTGATAATATTAGCACTGCTACCCGGGTCTATCAGAACCCTTTTAATCATGCAGTTTGCCACCAGAAGGCTGATGACTAGTGGATCCTCGTAGGGGAGTTGAACTCTAGATAAATCTGCATCGCCGAACCCAATACTGATACTGCCCTAGGTGATAGTGTTCACCAAGGACAACTGTCTTAGCTTGTGGGTTATCCTCTACCTGGATCTATATATTTCTTCCGATTTTTAGTCGTCTTCTGATCTCCCATATATTACATGGATGACCTTTACTTGATTACCTTCTACTCTCCGAGGGTTGACCTCCCGAGGCTTCACGTACTCCTTTGTTGTAAGGTAGTCTGCCAACTTACACTTGATTATCATATTCTCCACTTGTCGCCTAAGGGAGCTGCAATCATTGGTTGTATGCCCGTAATCTCTATGGTAGGTGAAGTGCTTGTTTTTGTCCCTCTGCTCCAAGGGTTGCTTCATTGGCTGAGGGGTTGTTAATTTCATCTTATTTTCTTGGAATAGCCGAGCCAAGGTAGTGCAAAGAGGTGTAAACTTTTCCTCTATCCTTTGCCTCTTCTCAGGTACCTGAGTGGCCGGTGATGAGGTCTGCTGGCTTTTCTGACTTTTTCGATTTGACACCCTTTCCCAAGGCTTATTCTTCACTATAACGAGGTGGCATGTTGTGCTCGGTGGGCTACATTCTCCTAAAGTCGGATGTAGATTTGCACCCTAGTATTAAGAGTCTGCATATCCAGAGGGGAATATTTGACTAGGGAGGTATGGAACTTGGTTCCCTGAATCATTGCAAGCTTGAACGTTTCTATTGCAGTCGCAAGATGGCAATCTGCTATTTCTGAGGCCTCCATGTTAAATCTGGATAAGAAATCCTGTAACATTTCTCCTTTCTTTTGCCTTATGGTGAAGAAACTAGCGATACTCTTCTTTTGCTTTTTGTTTCTGCAATACTGTGCTAGGAACATAGTGCAAATAGTTTCGTAGTCCAGGATAGATTTATGTGGCCTGTTCCTGAACCACTCCAATGTAGCTCCTGTTAGGCTAGTCGAAAAAACCTTACACATGAACGGATCGTTATGATCGTCCAGAGCCATCTTTTGTGCATAGTGATCAAGGTAACGAAAAGGATCTCCCATGCCATCGAACTGGGTAAAGTAAGGCATAATGAATTTCTTAGGTATGTCAACAAGGTATATATCATTGGTGAATGAAGTCTTTACCAGGGAGTTCTTATGTTCTCTGGCCATCTCGGCGGGCGTCTGAATCCTCAGGAGTCTTTTTTCGTCAAAGGCCTCCTGTACGCCTGCACCATCTGGAATGCCATTAGACCATACCGTATGTTTACGGCTATATTCGGCATGCTCGTCCTGCGTGCGACGAGGAAGATTGTCCGAAGCAACTACCTCAGACCTTGTCATCTGCTCTTGCTGAACTTCATTGGGCCGAGCCTCATTAGGCGCCCCATTAACCTTAGGCTCATTAACTGGAGGAGCGTTTTGGTTTGGAGGAGGTGCGGCCACATCAACTGGTGGCGGCTGTGGTGTCAACTGAGCCATCATCGTTTAAAGAGTGTTGTTTTGCTGTTGAAGCAATGCGATCTGGGCTACGCTGGCTTCGTTTGCCTGACAAAGCGTTTCGAACTGCTGCAGGAATTCTTCTCGCATCTTTTACATCAATTCCATCTGTTGATCAGCCGCTGTTGCAGATTCTCCATTCAACATTCTAGATCGTAGTAACAGAAACAATTTGAAACAAAAGTGGGAGTATATTTCTATATGCTTCCCACAGACGGCGCCAAAGTGTAGGTGCAAAATTTCTCTCTATTAAAGGAAATAAAAAGAAAAATACAACTCACTCAAAACAAACAATTGTAATACTCAGAGACAAGCGTATCTTGCTCCATCTTTTTATTGGAGGTCTAGGCCTCTATTTATATGAAACAAGCTGGTGGAATTATGGTAGGACTCGCCTTACTTGTCCTCCAATTCATTCCATATACAACATTCTTTACAATTAGAATCCTTTCCTTTTTACAATTCTTTCCATGCAAAACTTTCCTTGCACAAAACTTGCCTTCTTTGTTGAATCCTTTGTCTAGTAGGACTGGTCTGTCTTTAACTAAAGTTGGGCTGAATGTAGCTTGGTCCAGACGACTTAGCCAATGGGCTGAAAGTTCAACATTAGCGACCCTGGGCTGTTGACATCTTTATTGGGCTTGAATAGGGCTGGATTCTTATAGCCCATTAAGAAAATAAAAACAAAGCTTCAATTATAACCACGTGGATGACCTTCATTGGAGGGGGATTCTTCCCTCCACAGTAGTGTTCTTTCCTTTTGAAAAATCTGAATTAGGGTTATCAAAATTCAACATAGATTTTCAATCAGAAAATGACCAATGGGTGAAATTTGTGTAAATGAATCCAATAGTAGTTTGAGGTTCTTATCAGGACTCTGGCTCTTCTTTACTTTTTATGTTTTTCAAGTTACTGGAACAAAGTGTAGTAATTTGTAATTTTTTTTTCCCTGGTAAACTAGGTTGAGGGCAGGAGGGGGACTCTAACGCAAGTACACCCACTCGGGGAGCTACGTTTTACCAATTAGGCCACAGGGTAATATCCATTGTAATTGGTAATGTAGTATGTGAGTGGTTGTTGAATATGGAATCAGATAGACACCATGAACAAAAAATGCTTTCGATATCAGAAAAGTTAAGCATTATAAATTTATTTTTTTATTGCTTTGGATTGAAATTATTATGGATTTTTTCATATTTTGGTTTTAGTTTTAGTTTTTAAAATCCTCTCTAATTTGAAAATTCAGTTTCGAAATTCCAACTATATTGGATTTTCTTTAAATTGAATGGTGAATGAACAGAAATAATATTTGATCTCACTGAGTCTCCATCAGATATGGACACAATATTTTGTTGTGTTTTGATATCTGCCTCTCCTTTCGATATCGACTACACTAATGTACCTCGGACCATATAAAAAATTCTCTTTAATCTTGTTCAAAATCTTGAGCTTTATCATTATCTGGAATTAGTGGTCCTCCATCTTCAAACTTTTTTGAGGTTCCTGTACTATTTTAATTTCCAAGATTCTTGATTGGCAATCAAAAAGAAAAATTTATTTTTCTTGTTTGAGAATATATTAAAGTCAACACTCGAGATGACATGTTGCACTTGTAACTTAGATATCCTAATGCGCAAGTGCCGTGTTGTGTGAATGGCTGGGTTGTCCCGTGTTCGAGAGTTTGTGTTTAAGCCTTGCATCTTCCACTACTCTCTAATCACAAACTCCTAACATTCTAGTCATAAACACAACATGAAATAAATAGGTTTTTTTAAAAAATGATAAGAATAATTACAGGGTACCAATTCAGTCCCTCCAAACATAGCTCAAATTTTTTACAATGTGATACGAAATTTATTTTGAGAATTCTTATTACTGTCTGAACTATGAAGTGAAGGGAAAGTTCTACATTCGAAATCGAAATACCTCACTCTGTGTAAAGGCAAATTTGACCCTACAATGATGACGTCTTTAACCAAAGTCTAAACTTCAAACACATCTCTTTCTTGTACATTGTCATGCTCATATGTGCTGCTACATTGGACTTCTTTAAAAATAGGGTGAAGTGTAAAAAAAAATCCCTAAACTATCAGGGAATTTCACAAAACCCCCCTATATTAACAATTCCCTTCCCTGCCCCCTCCCCTCCCCACAGGAACTATTAGACTTTACCTAAAATAGGAGATTACCAGACCAGAGTAATACTGTCATTTTGAAACTATAATATAGGTGATGTGATAGTCATATCACTTGGTGTATTTTTGCAAAAATTGAAATAGTTTAGGGAGTTTGCTGTAAAAATAAAAGTTCATGGTTTTCTTGGGAGAAAGAAAGAGTAAAGATCAGGGTTTTTTTTCTTGCACTTTACACTTAAAAATATTAATAAGTATAATTAAAACAAAAAATATAAGTTATAGTTACCATTTTTGAAATTTATCATAATTATTTTATAATACAGGGATCTTGTGTTAGTAGTAACTTGCAATAATTTGGAATTATTAAATACTAATATGTATTTATAATTTTTTTTATATAATATAGGGATGTCCATGCAATTATAGAAAACTTGATAAGAAGTATAATTTACTCAAAAATACTACCCCTATCCTAAGAAAAATGTCTTGTTTGAAAAATCGTGACTCACGTAGATCTAAATCTAAACATACAAGTAGTGGAGATTTGCCCACGTACCCATAGAGACGTGGGCCATACCCAAGAATTGAATTCATCATAAAAACAAGGCTTACTTTTGCAATCCATTTCCGGGTCAATTATGAGACCCCTTTTCTTTTCCTTTTTATCTGTTTATTATTATTATTACTTTTATTTTCAACCATCTTCAATTTGTGGGAAATGTTTGCGATTTTTTTAGCAAAAGATAATGATTCTAACATGAATACCAATGAAGATATATATATATATATATTTTTTTTAATCTTATCTAATACATTCGAAGGGTAATTAATTTTAGATTGTTATTATCGATTTGAATTTTGGTCTCGCAATTTCGGTTATAATTTCTCTCTCATGGAAATTTGGCTTGGTTTTTATAAGAAATTATTAGATGGTCGTGAACCATGAATACTTGGTAGATCAATTAAATACAGACTCTTGGATTGAGAAATAGTCCCACAAGTGTGTATTAATAAATTACAAAGTTTCATGATAGGAGGGTTTTCATTAAATTAGTCCACCAAGTGTCAAATAAACCAGGACCATCTAAAAATTTCTTGATTTTTACTGGCATATGATAGGGGTGGGTTGGTCAGGCCAAGGGGCACGCCAAACTCAAGTTTTTAACATCTTAAACCGCGCACAGTCCAAGTTTCAAAAAATTTATCGCATCTTAGCTTGCACCATGTCGCACGGGTACTAAAAAATAAATATTAAAAAATATATATATATATATACATCTAAACCGTTCAAATGTATAATAAAAATCAATCAAACTATGTGTAATATGAGATTATAGTATTTTACCTAAAAAAATATGAGATTATAGTAATAATATGATCTCATGTGACGAATTCATGATTCTTGATACTATAAATAATCTAATATTAAATATAAAAGTTATATTCGGATTTTTCGGATTCATTGGGTTACTAAAACTTTTTCAAATTCTGTCCAAATAAATTTGGGATCTAAAGTTTAAACTCGGCCCCATCTCATAGTCTTGGATACCTTATCCATTCTTGTAAAATTTTCAGACATGAATCGAGTTGCTCAGGTAAGAAGTATGGTTGCTAAAATTGTTATTTCTCTACCTAAAATTTCCATTTGCATAATGATCCATTTGCCTAAAGTACAATGCAGATGATTATAATAAACTGCTGGTGATCTAGAGCCCGTTCTTTAGTTTTATTCTATTACTTCTTGATTTATTTGTCTTTATATGACCATTTTTGACGCTCTTTATAAATGCCGCATAGCTGTTTTTCTTATTATCAGGGTAAAATAAAAAAAAAAAAAAAAAAAATGATTATAATAAATTTTGCTAGACAAAAATTGGAATTTTAGGTCAAGTTTGGTGAGACTTCTGAAAGTTGCTAAGAATGCAGAGAGTAGTCATTGTCATAAATTGACATTAAAAGAGCTTGTTAAAACTTCATAGATTAGGTGACATTATAAAAAGTTGTATCATGTTTTTTCCCTTTTGAAACTTTTTAATTTTAGGGTTATCAAAATTCAAGTTAAATTGTGTAAGCTATATAGAAAATTTCACATGTTTTTTAATTTTTTGTCGAAATCGACATTAACTCACTTGGTTATCGAGACATTTGCAAATTCCACATGTTGATATTTGGCTCTAAGTTTGCATTTCTTTAGGAATATTAATAAGCATAATTAAAAAGGATGTATAAACTCTTGTTGCTCTCATACTCTACACGTGCTCACTCTGTATGACTTATATTTTGTCACTATTGCACTCCTGCTCCCGGTATAACTTATATTTATAGTAACTTGCAACAATTCGGAATTATATATCCTTATAATCTTTTTATTTTGGGAGCTTCATGTAATGATAGAAAACCTTATAAGAGGTATAATTTACTCAAAAAATAATTAAATAGAAAAAAAAAAAATTAAACATCAGCGGTAGAGAGTTGCCCACGTACACATAGATTGTGGGCCATACCAAGAATTGAATTAATCACAAAAACAAACTTTACTTTTGCTATCCCTTTCCGGGTCAATTATGATCACTTTCTTTTACTTTGGTGAAGAAAAAAAAAATCTCTATTTTGCAACATTTGCCTGAATTCCCTCCATTAAATTTTTTTTTTTTTGAGCATCTCTAAACTATTATTTAATCGTTACGTTTCGTGTCATTACTTGTGCATTCACAATTATATATAAAAAATAATAATATAATAACACCTTTCGAAAAAAAATAATAATAATTTAAAAATAATAATAATAATACTGCGGTGACTATAATAACTTGATTTTATTTTTGGTTACAAAATTTTGATTAAATTGGACAATATAATTTGAACACCATCTAATAATTTATCGAACATGTTTTTTATTTTATTTAATTCCAAACAATTAAAAATGCAACCTGTGTGATCCATACGACTGGTCCCATATATCAGCTGTCTCTGGTTATCAAGTGCCAACCAGTCACCTCTCTTTACTCTTGTTTTTGACCCACCACTGCAATTCAATTATTACTCTGTTACCCTCCGTTTCACAACCCTTCTCGCCCAATCTCAGTCTTGAGGTTATATATCTATTTATCTATCTCTCTATATATGTATCTATGTATGTATAGATAGAGAGAGAAGGGGATGTCAAAGTGCTTTAGTTTAACGGCGTCGAGAAACTGGTGCTTAAGATCAGTGTTCTCCAAGTCGGGTCTCCGATCCACCATTTTTGACCTTGCCGATGGTACCATTATGCACTGTTGGGTCCCCAAGACCCGGAAAGAATCCAAACCCGATTTGCTCCTCATACATGGGCTCGGAGCCAACGCAATGTGGCAGTGGGGCGACGTCATCCGGATTGTGGTCCCCTACTTCAACGTCTACGTGCCGGACCTGGTGTTCTTCGGCGACTCGTTCACGACTCGGCCGGAACGGTCCGAGTCGTTCCAGGCTCAGTGCGTGATGCGGGTCATGGAGGCCAACTCGGTGCGGAGGATGAGCGTGGTGGGGCTCAGTTACGGTGGGTTCGTGGCGTACAGCATGGCGGCGCAGTTTAGGGAGGCGGTGGAGAGGGTGGTGATATGCTGCGCCGGGGTGTGCCTGGAGGAGAAGGACCTCGCGGCGGGATTGTTCCAGGTGTCGGACCTGGAGGAGGCCACCAGCATTCTGCTGCCGCAGACGGCGGAGAAAATGAGGGAATTGATGGGATACACTTTTGTCAAGCCACCGGTTCCGTTCATGCCCTCTTGCTTGCTTAATGACTACATTGATGTAAGGTCCAAATGCAAATAATGCCTTCTTTATCTTTTAATTATGGGCTTAATTGCATTTAGTTGTTGGTTAACTAATTAATGGGCTTTATTATTTGCCCATTTTGATACATTTCTTATTCAAATACATTTATCTTAATTCTCAATCATAGGCTTGATTGCATTTAGTTGTTGGTGGTTGGCACCAGACCATGTGGTCTGGTCAATCAGAAACTGACATGCAGATAAAATCGTCAATTTATTTAGTGTTTTTTTGTTTGATTGGCCAAGAAGATGTATTTTCGGACCCTACAATATTTTTTGGTGAAGTGACTTCATCGTCCATTTTCATACCTGTAACGTATTTCTGTTAAAAATGGACAACAAAAACAAATACATTTGAGTCCAGTGTGTAACTAGTTTTCTAAACGGATTCAAACACATTTATTTTAGACATGAAAAATGATATAGAAGCGAGTTTGGTCTGTTATTTGTCTGATAAAAATATTTGTTTCCTTATACTAAAAGTGAGTTGGTGGGAATTTTATGAGCAGGTAATGTGTACTGAATATATGGAGGAGAAGAAAGAGTTAGTACGTGCCATTCCTAAGGATCGAAAACTTTCAGAACTTCCCAAGATACCTCAGGTTTAGTTTTCATCAAGTGATTAAGTATTCTTTATTTTATTATTATTATTTTTTACTTCACATATCACATAGCATATTGCATTAATTTGCATTTCTGCTGCAGCCTACTTTAATAATCTGGGGAGATCAAGACAAGATATTCCCATTAGAACTTGGTCACAGATTAAAAAGGTTAATCTTTAACATCTAATCAAATTTTTTTTTTTTTTTTTTTTCATCGACAAGAAACCCGCACCAGAATCATCACACACTGAGTATTTGGGTTGGTTGGTGTGTTATACAGGCATTTGGGAGACAATGCTGAGCTAGTAGTCATCAAGGACACTGGGCATGGCTTCTTCCTTGAAAAGCCTAAGGAGATGAAAAAGCACTTGAAGTCCTTCCTCATCAATTCGGTCTCTCCTCCTCCGACGAAGAGCCCTCTTCCGGATCATCAGAATCGTCAAGAATGATTTATTCGATGCAGCAGCAATTGCAGGATCAATCTTTCAATTCCAGTGATTCCAGCATTTGATCCCTAACAAAATATCAGTTGAAAGACAATTTTATGTGTCATTCACAAGTTATCATTGATCCTCCCAAAAGGACTTGGTGATGTGGTGAACCAGTCTTTTGGGACAAGACACCATTTTGCAACACACCATAAAACTCATATAGACAATGCAGAATTTAAAGCCATTATCACAAGTATATTTTTGTGTCTCTTTGTTGAAAGGATAATATAATAAACAAGCAATGTTTTCTTGTTTTCATGCACCTAATTTGCCTCCCTCTTTTGAAGTGACAACATACACCTGAGGAAAAATTCATACTCAAGAATTAGCCAATAGTCCATGAATCTATCAACCTGCTCAGGGGGATGTGATTAATTGCGCTTCGCAGCCATTTCAATATGACGGTGGGTCCGAAAATTGATTGAGCCATCTCCAACCTCCTTTTATCCCCCAACTTCAATTGTCCAAACCATGACATTGGTTTTCCCATGTTAAGAAATCACGATCTTGGCAAAAGAGGATTTGATTCTCAGAGCCTAGTTGTTAAGAAATCACGATCTTCTCCAGCTGTCAAAGAGAAGGGCAGTTCAAATTAGTGATTTATGACAGATAGCAATTGTCAGTAGTATTTGAAGACTTGTACAGAGGAATTAAAATAGTTGATACAAGGCATTCAGAACATTAGTTGATACAGGGTGACTTTTTAAGTAACCTATTGAAGCCTCGCTCCTTCCCATCTAGTGTTGTTAAAGGCGCACCTAGGCTCCAGGCTCATAAAGGCGCAACACTTGCGCTTGTTGTGTGCCAATGTGCGCATTTGACAACATTTGTGCCTTTAATATGGAATATGAATATGCTTTAATAGTATTTTAATTTTTCAATTGTGCACCTCGCTTCACTCAGGCACAAGCCTCGCCTTGCGCCTTGTGCCTAGGCTCTAAAGGACCTCTAGCGCCTTAGTGCGCATTGGCCCTTCAATAACACTGCCATAAGCTCTCTAACAATCTCCCCAATGCATTGTCAAACAAAACCTATCCTTCCAAAAGCTACTGCACCTAAGATGGGTCGTGAGTATTAATTAAAATTTGGTGGAAGTTTATGAACTCTAGATGTTCAACCCACTGGTTCAAGGAGTATTTAGAGCCAAACTGGAAAATTAAACCCTAACATCTTATGCTGGAAACCTTAATTGGCATGTAGAAATTTCACCTTGCTTGAAAGTCGCTGGCCAGAGCTGCTGTTGAGAGAATGAGAGGTTGAATTATTTGCTCATTGCTAAAATTTGGGGACAACGGGTACATCTCAATAACATCAAAACCATAGGCCAGACACTGTGGTACGCACATTAGGATAAGATTGAACTGTGGTACGCACATTAGGATAAGATTGAATTTGTTACGCAATGAATATTACCTAATCAATTTCGTAGAAGAAGAAGCTGGTTTTGATAATGTCAAAAGCAATATTTTTCCCTTGCACTATTGGAGGCAAAGCTCACTGGGGCCTTGGTATGGGATAAGACTAATGATTCCTTGTTTATAAATGAAGTACTGTGTTTCAGAAATCCTAACAGAGATGTTGGAAACCAATGGGGTTTATGTTAAGATGGTCTCTAGAACCGAGTGGGAGGAAGGGGAAATTGGATGGGTTTGTGTCAATACTATAATAGATAGGAGTACTAGTTAAAAGGCTTTATCCAAAAGCTTGGAGGCCCATCTTCCTTTTCAAGATTATGATCATGCCCCTAATTTTTTGATAACCACTACCAGAGTAGATATGCCATTACAAAGAAAACCATTTAGGTTAAAAGTATGTGGCTTACTAATGATAGCATTTATCGACTAGCTAAGGAAGCCTGGAATACTTGTATTAATGAATAATTGGAGAATCGGGGATAATAATTAGTTTTGGCATAACAATGAAGAAGAGATTGGTGAGATCTTTACTGACTATCTAAAGAATAGATTTAATCTAATGGTAGTTCTAATGTGGCAAATTCTGTTAGTTCTATCCAAGCAAGAATTATTTATTAAAAAAAAAAAAAAAAAACCGAAGATTTGAAAATAATAATACCCAACCATCCAACCCATATAGTGGAGACAAAATTGAATCAAATTTGTAACCACATTTGTTGTATAAAAAATAAAATAGAAATTAGGATAATATTAACAGTTATGCTTATGAGTTTATTATTGAAATACTTTTTCTCCTCCTAAAAAACAGGTTTCTTTGCTAGGGTAGTTTAATATACATATTTTGCTCTTACTCCCAAAACTGAAAATCCCCAGTACAGCACTAAAAATAGTAGAAATTGAACAATCCTTGAGATTCCTACTGTTAAAAATCTAGACACCCAACCCCACTTCCTTCTCTAAATTCTTTAATATTACTTTCCGAGGCAATAAAAGGGGAAAACTTCCTAGATAACATAGTTTTGGGATCTATGTCGATCATGGTGATGAACTCAATTAGAAACTGAAGATTCATACACATTTAGGGAAAAAGCACTAGCTTCCATAGACAAACTAATGTCGATTCAAAACATTTGGCCACGCGACCAATATGAGCCGTAAGTTGCCATCACCTCGATATAGTTTCTTCTGCAACTCTTGTTCATCAAAATACTACTGTATAACAGTTTCTGCTCAAAATAAATGTAAAATATAAATGTAATAACCACGGTGATGATCTACAGGAACCTACAAGCTTTCTGAATTTCCATAAAAGGTTTCAAATATGTAAGGAAAACTATAGTCCCTCGCTACAAAAAATAACATATGTTTTGAAGTCTGCAACATTACTTGTAAAGGACATTTCCCTATTTGAGGCACCGGTGTCATCAGACGGTAAATGAATCATTCAAGGAAATAAACAGATCTTACACCATGGTTTGATAATGTCTTTGTTCATGTAACTCTTGGTGATGTGACAAGCAACAACTGGTAGTAACCAAATGCTGTGAGTCATAAATTGTCGAGATTTTAATTGGCATGATACCCATCCAGGGACATTTCAACCCTAAAGCAAATATAAATTGTCACCAGAAAATGGAGATATTTAACAAATGATGCAAGTAACTAATTAGTTCCAGCTACAAAAATAGGACATTTGATATCATTTCTTCAATTTAGAAACCAAAACAATGAATTCAAAGCCACCCCCAAAAGAAGTTAAGAGACACGCACTAGTTTATCTTCTGAGTCAGTTCTAAACAGTGCCATTCTGGAAGTAACCTAACTATCATATCCCTAGCAGAGAAAGAAAAATAAAATAGAAGAACTAATAATGATGTTAATTCATAACAGCGCAAAATAATGTTAAGGATCTGTCCAAGATACCTTGCATATGTACAATAGAAGGTCTGCTGTCGATCATTGCTTACGACTATCGCTCAATTTGAGAAGCAGAAGAGACATTGTACCCCTAACGAATTAGTCCATAACAAGAAACGCAAAACAGTCCACGAGCAGATCATCTTGTCACAACATCAGAACCCGAATCCAGTTCTTGCATCTGTGCATATCTATACAACTTTTCATTAAAAACCACCTGTGGATCCTTATTGATCAAAACCCCATCTTCATCATAAGCATCTCTCAAGAACACAACCCAATTCATCTCCGTGCCAGCCAAGTAAAATGTCTGCGGCTGCTTCAAAAGCATTTGATAAGTATGCTTTGTAAGACTAAACTCTTCCTTGAACTCCACAATATGATGTATAGAAGCCCTCTTCTCCAATGTCAAGCTCAAGAACTCATGCAACAACCCAACCCTGTACTTTTCTGCCTCCAATGTCCAAAGATCCAACTTTGATCCATCCGAATAGGGTGATACCAAAGGAAGGGTGTTCAACAAATTCAACTTTCTAGCATCACCCTCCTCCAAATCCAATGACTTGCCATGTTTAATCGGAAACTTAAACGCCTTCTTCACCCGATCCTCATCCACCATAAATTCCCTCTCCAATGCACTCACCGCCAGTGAAGCGTCCCAATTCACCAGCTCAAGCACTCTCTTCCCATCATTTTCAACCACAATATTGAAATAATTCGGATACTTAACAACCCTATCCCTAAAATCTTCTGGAATACCAAACAACAAACGGCAATGATAAATTTTACTCAAAGGAATTCGCTTATTCGCAGATATCATCAACAATTTTCTTACAGTATTGACTCTATCTACCTCCATGGAGTCCATGATCTCTCTCTCCTGCTGAAGCAAGTCCTCCATGGAGTCCGTGAAGCCGAACCACATCTTGCCATCGTCGTGGCGGTAGGTGTCGAGCAAGAGCGGGTGGCGCTGGATGGAGCGGAGGACTTTGCGGCCGCGGGGGAAGCCGAGCTCGCGGTGGAGCTTGCCGGCGTCGTCGAGGCGGAGGACGTGTTCGGGTTGTTTGGAGAGGAATTCTTTGGTTTTGGTGAGGAATCTGAAGTGGGTGTCGCGGTTGAGGATGGTTTCGAAGTGTGGGATGAGATTGGATTGGTGTTGAACCAGTTTGGTTCTGGGACTGTCCTTCTTGCGTTTCTTTTTGAATTTCTTGGGGGTTTTGGTGATGAGGAAGGAGGTGGAGAATGGGGCGGCGAAGATGTTAGGGTTAGGATGGGAAGTAAGGGTTTTGGGGATGATTAGGGTTTGTGAAAATGAGGGTTTGGACTTGCTGGTAGTGAAGATGATTCGCCAAGCCATGGTGAAGAATAAAGATTTGGGGACGGAAGAGTATCGTCGATAGCTTAAATTAGAATCGAAAATTTGAATGGAAAAAAAATTATAAAAGAAATTTGGAAAAAAATTCCGACCTGCCGGATTCGAACCAGCGACCTAAGGATAGCCATTCGGAATATGCCAACTACAGTCCTCCGCTCTACCAACTGAGCTAAGGTCGGTTTGCAGTTAGAAGCCAATATAAGAATATTTGGTGAACAAAAGTACACAATTCAGACTGTCAATAAATTCTCTTTTCAATTTTTTGAAATTAATTCTTAAAAATCTAAAATTAATTAACTCTCACAATAATATACTTTAAGAAAATTTGAACATTTTCACTATACCATAGACTTTAATGGTAATAAAATTTAAAAATTCAACCAATCAAATTTGAGTTTATACGAGATTCTTGGTATAACGAGAACATAGATAATTCATATTTTCAAAATGGCAAAATGATAAACTTAACAATCAATGGCTTTTTAATAAAAAAATATTCAGAAAAAAAAAAAAAGAAGAAGAAGAAACAATTATATTCATTTTAAATACTGACAAGAATTTTAGTTGGACTCTATCTATTGGAGTCCTTAACTAACTGTCTTTTGAATGTGTTTTAATTTAGAAGATCATATTCATTATTAGCTCAATGCTAAAGATTAAGGGTTTATCTACTCCTATTTCGTTTTAAACAAATTTCATGCTAACTTGTCTGCTTCATGATTGGAATTGTTGTTTTCAATTATTTTTATTGCTGCAAGAATCTAATTTTTAGTTTGCTTTGTTTCTGCAATTGGCTTTACCAAAGGATTTGCAATTAGTTCCAGATTGCTTACTGATCTAAGTCACACGATTCATAACTAGAAAGTTTCTCTGCTCTTTTTCTAATCGGAGCTAAAACTCCGGAAATAAAAAATGACAAATATCACACATCAGGTATATAAGTGCTCCACCTTCATAATAGACAAACTGAAATTAAATGTTAAGAATCGTTCAAGCACAATTATTTTTTGGGGGATTCAATCCCTTAAGTGACTGCAGTCAAATGATCACATTCTACTCAAAGATGATGTCTACAAACTATCTAGCAAGATACTTTTGCAATGGTTATTCTTCTACAAATGATCCAAACAAATACGTTATAACTACCAACAATTCAGAAATGTGAAATATTGACAACGCTTCAGAAATGTGGCCGTTTTTGCACAGGCCATCCAACAGGACACAGTACGTGTGAGTATTTGGAATTTGGCCCCCGTCTTGCATCTCATTGAGAAGCTTTCTCGCTGCAGCACGTCTACCGTTTCGGAACAACCCTTGCAGCATGGTTGTGTAACTATAAATTGTGGGTTCCAATCCTTAACGAGGGATTTCTCGCAAGAGATGCATGGCCTCATCAATCTTCATCTGCATGCAATATCCATTGATCAAGATGTCATAAGTAATATTGGTAGGCACAATTCCCCTGTCCACCATGGAATTAAATGCTCTCATTGCTTCATCCGTCTGGCCTTGCAAACAATATCCGTGAATCAAAGCACTGTAAGTGACTACATCAGGCTTAATTCCCCTGTCCACCATGGAATTGAATGCTTTCATTGCTTCATCCATCTGGCCTTGCAAACAATATCCGTGAATCAAAGCACTGTAAGTGACTAAATTAGGCTTAATTCTCCTGTCCTCCATGGAATTGAATGCTTTCATTGCTTCATCCATCTGGCCTTGCAAACAATATCCGTGAATCAAAGTATTGTAAGTGATGACATTAGGCTTAATTCTCCTGTCCTCCATGGAATTGAATGCTTTCATTGCTTCAACCATCTGGCCTTGCAAACAATATCCGTGAATCAAAGCACTGTAAGTGACTACATCAGGCTTAATTCCCCCGTCCTCCATGAAATAACAAACAATATCCGTGAATCAAAGCACTGTAAGTGACTACATCAGGCTTAATTCCCCCGTCCTCCATGGAATTGAATGCTTTCATTGCTTCATCCATCTGGCCTTGCAAACAATATCCGTGAATCAAAGCACTGAAAGTGACTACATTAGGCTTAATTCTCCTGTCCTCCATGGAATTGAATGCTTTCATTGCTTCATCCATCTGGCCTTGCAAACAATATCCGTGAATCAAAGTATTGTAAGTGATGACATTAGGCTTAATTCTCCTGTCCTCCATGGAATTGAATGCTTTCATTGCTTCATCCATCTGGCCTTGCAAACAATATCTGTGAATCAAAGCACTGTAAGTGACTACATCAGGCTTAATTCCCCTGTCCACCATGGAATTGAATGCTTTCATTGCTTCATCCATCTGGCCTTGCAAACAATATCCATTGATCAGAACACTGTAAGTGACTACATCAGGACCCTCACCTCTTTGAATCATGATTTTAGGTATACTCTCTGCATCTCTTACCATCCCTTCTTTGCAAAGTGCATCTACCAAAATACTGAAGGTAAATACATCTGGAAAATTTTTCAGATCCACCATCTCCTTCAATAGTCTTTTAGCCTCTTTCCATCGACCAAAATTGCAAAGTCCGCGAATCAATGAACTGTATGTGATAACATTAGGCAACATACATTTCTCAATCATTTCGGAGAAAAAGACCAAAGCATCATCTACCATTCTGTCCTTGCAAACACTATCAATTATGGTGTTATACATTACTAAGTAGCCCAATGGCCGTGCTAGTATTCCCTGCTTTGCAAAGACCATTTATCACTATTCCATACATAATTTCATTAGGCTCGATCTCATTCTCCCTCAACAGCTTGTTGAATAACCCCATTGCCTCGGCAATTTTATGTTCTAAGAAAAGCCCTTTTATCAGGGTGGTGAATGTAGTGACATCAGGTGCACAACCACCACGTTTAAGTTGGTCACCTAAGGTAGCAAATCCAAAATCGACTCGATTGAGGTAGCAATAACAGTTTATTACGATGTTCATGGTGTAATCATTAACTGGGAAACCCAAAACAAGCATTTGTTTGTAGAGAGAAACAACAGTAGAGTAATGTTTCATTCTGGTAATGATCCCTAGAAGCTTAGTAAATTCAATAACAGAAGGCAAAGGTCGCGTTTGGAGCATTTGATTGAATGAATTGAGAGCGTCTTGGAGATTATTAATATTGTAAAACCCAATTCTAGGTTTCTGGGTGAGTGATTTACGATCTGAAGTAGAAGAATGAGAGTGAAATGAAACAGTATAATGAACATGCGATAATGGGTTTGGGTTTAGAGAGAGAAAAGTAGTAGTAGTAGAAGTAGGAAGACAAGTACCTTTTGAGAAGCAATTGTGAGGAAATAACCTTCTCCAGACCAAACCAATAGCACCTCCATTTCTCTTCATCTTTACGGTCACTGGAAGTTCTTGGATTGTAAATAGGAAATCAATATCGCCCCGTGCACACCTATATCCAAAATTAAAGACAATAGCTGTAAATAGACATTAAGGCTACAGGTAAAATATTACAAAGTTAGAGAAAGAAAAATAGACATTAAGCCTACATGTAAAATATTTTTTAAAGTTAGAAAAAGATAAATAGACATTAAGGCTTTTTAAAAATATTCAAAATAAATAAATAAATAAAATAACAATTATATTCATTTTTAATACTGACAAGAATTTTAGTTGGACTCTATCTACCTTAACTAACTGTGTTTTAATTTAAAAGATCATATTCATTATTAGATCAATGCTAAAAATTAAGGGTTTATCTACTCCCGTTACTTCTCTCAATTGAATTATTCTAGGTTTATCTTATCTTCTACTATCATAGTTTGAACAGTCAATAATCTCCCTCCTATAATCATCTCTCATTGTGTATAGCAAATAGTATATAAATACGCAAAACTTTGTCTCTCTCTCTAGAATATGTACCAAGAGAGAGAATGTAAAACTTGGCTGTTGCATCTTTGCTTGTCTCAACTCTTGGTCTCTGTTTTTCAATAATTCTTCCATAACTAGTGTAATTTTATTGTTTGCATGATTCGCGTACTTGTGTTTTTAAATTTCCTTATCATTTTATGACTACGGGCTTTAAAAGCTTGTTTATTCGAGTGGTTTTATAGTCATTTAATTGCTGTTTTAAATTAATTATTCGTTTTACACAAATTTCATGCTATTTGTCTGCTTCATGATTGGAATTGTCGTTTTCAATTATTTTTATTGCTGCAAGAATCTAATTTTTAGTTTGCTTTGTTTCCGCAATTGGCTTTACTAAAGGATTTGCAATCACTTCCAGATTGCTTACTGATCTAAGTCATCCGATTCATAACTAGAAAGTTTCTCTAGTCTTTTTCTAATCTGAGCTAAAACTCTGGAAACGAAAAATGGCAAGATAGGAAAATTACTTATACTACTAAAATTGTCCCAAAAAAACATAGGGCAAAGTATAGTAAATCTCCACTTGTAGACTTTTCCCGTAAACCACTCTTATCTATTATTTTACTTCAAAAAAAAAAAAAAAAAAAAAAAAAAAAAAGGAACTTGTAATCTTTTTCCAATAAAACCCCTTCTTTAATTACCAAAGAACCTAGTAAACCCATCTTGTCTATTTTTTTAACCAAAAAATCCCCTTGCATTTGTAACATTTTTCTAATAAATCCCCTTGTTTAATTACCAAAGAACCCCCTCAACCATATGAAGGGGGTAAAATGACCAAAATCCTTGTTTTATAAACTTTTTATGCATATATTATTTGCAATATTTAGATGTACTGTTTGTGAGATATGAATTTTTAAAGTTGGGGAAACTAAGATTTAAATAAAAAAGCATTTTGGTCCAAATATCAATTCTTTTATTTCCTTAGATATTTATTTGAGGGGTTCTTTAGTAAAAAGATTAGATAGGATTTACTAGAAAAGGCAACAAGGTCGAGGGGTTTTTCTGTACTCCTATAAATTTGAAAAATTACACTAAAATAGTCAATTCAAATTGAAATTGTGGAGTCATCCACAATTGTTTAATCAAAACAAAGGAATTATTTTTTTCAATTATTTCGTCGTGCAAGAATTTTTTAGCTTTGCTTATTGCATCTTGATCTAAGTCACGTAAGTTTTCTAAAGTAGTGATCACATAAGTTTTCTAAACTAGTGATGATCTCACGGAGTTTACTCCTACTCTCAATTTCACCATGTAATATTTAAATTTTGTTGTTTTTTTGCTTCCGTTCTCACATTTGTTTGCTTTGTTTGTTTCGATGTAAAATATATATTTAAAACTAGTGATGCTCCTTGTTTCCATGTAAAATAATAAATAAAATATTGTTTATATATATTTTAAAACAAAACGGATCGTGAATTCCAAACCCAAAATCTTAATTAGGCTAAAATGGAAATGAGGTCAAATGGGCATCCTAGTCGTGAACCCACATCCAACTTTGTGGTCGTATAAAGATGGTGTTAGTTTGGCCCATTTGGGTAGCAAAACTTCAATTTGGTTGGCAGAGAATGTTTATTTTACCAATGCGGACCCATTTTCAGGGATACCCAAAACCAAGTACAATTTTGCAGAATGGGCCCATAAAGATACTGCTCTTTCACTTTTAAACAACTTATTTCTATCATAAGCTACTACAAAGTAACCACCCTAGCATGTGCTCTCTACTCTTTTTTTTTCTTTTCTTTTTTCTTTTTTAAATATATGTATAAATTTTTCTTTTTCTCTCTTTTTTAATCAAATCAATTTTGGTCTTCCTCTTCTTCTATAATTACCTCTATGTGGACTTTGTTTGGCTGATTAATAAAGTGGAAAAAAATATACTACTGACCTTATGTCTTGTTTGGAAAGTAAAATGTAGAGAAAAATAAAATGATTGTTCTACTTTGGGCATAGCAAGAGCAAAACTGGAATTCACTTTCACAAGTTATAACTTATAAGCAAGAACAAAACACAGGTGTCTCTCCTATCCTCTCTCTCCCTCTCCATTTTCATCCACTTTTGAAAGAAAGGATAGCAAAACAATTGTTGATGGGTTTTTATAACCCCTCTAAATTCTTCTATTTCCCTTCATTTCATTCCAAAATTTTATATTAAAACAACAAAACATTTTCCTCCATTTCTATTCTTTCCCTTCTTCCTTCCACTCTTCTAACCATAAATAAGAATTGCAAGATCTTAATGTGTGTGAGTTTGTGTGGAGAGAGAGAGAGTAGAATCATTTACTAAGTAGAATCATCTTAGTAAAGTGGAAGAAAACTCAAGTAGCATTTGGAAGTTCTTTCTGTAATTGTAAATGTAAAGTAAATGAGAGAAAATGAATAAACATTAGGTTACTAATATGGCAAAAGACAGAACAGGAAAGGAGAGAAAAATGAATAAACAAAGAATTACCACATAAATACACTTATTGGTGTAATTTTCTTCAGTGTCTAATTGATTGTGTTGATGTAAGGTTATAATGAGACATCAGAAGCAAAATGTAATATAATCCTATCTTTTATCACTCACCCTGCAACCTCAATTGTAATTACATGGCCTTATGTATGCCTTACGGCTCCATAAGAGTGGTGGTCGGCTCCACGTCGAACCAATCTGCTCTCTGCACTTTTCTTTCTATTCAAAACTTTTGATTCCCCCATCCATTGGTGGAAGTCTGTGCTGATTAGTTTTAGATCCACAAAACGAAGATAAATATTAATGATCTACACTGCTGGGCTCCCTTACACGGGACATAAATTAGTTTGCTTGTCTTTTGAGGAAAGGCTTTTGGCAAATGAGGAGTCTCTCATCGCTGTTACTCTCGATCTCTACGACTCGTGCATCCCATTTCAATTGTGTAGTCAGAGCTCTTGCTGATTCGATGAGAGAAGCAGAGTCGCGGAATATCACCCACCCCTGCACAAATCTCAAATGGATTAGCAAATCTAACACATGGCAGTGACAGAGAAAAACAGAGCTAGAACACGCCTGACAGTTCTATAAAATAACATATTGCTACGATCTAGTTTCACACACAAGTCATGTGTAATAGCAATTCAGACAAGCCTTGGTACTGCATGAAAGTATTAGAGGAGTAAATAAAACAATAGCAATTGTCAATGAGAAGATAATGAAATGGGAAGTTTCATAGCAGTTGTTACACAACAGCAGCACACTGCACCCAAGTTCTTGTGAAAGGTGTTAATTGCCACTATCTATATAGGTTATAGACAACTTTGTGGATATATATCACATATTATTTTTGTAAGTAAATGCCTTGCATCATGTAGAATTTATCAACATTCTAGGTCATGGTGTTCTTTTTGGCAAATTGATTCCGCATACTTTTGGCCCACAATCAACCACTAATTCCACCCTTTCCATAGAATGAACAAAAGGGATCAATAGAGAATGAATTAGAAATAAAATGACCGATTAAGGTACCTCTGGACGAAGTAATCGATCTATCTCAGAAAATAGATCCATCATAGTGCAGCTGCGGCTACGCTGCTGAGCAGTTTCAAGCGACATTAATCCTTGAGCATGCACCATATCATAAGTTCTAGGGTAGGTTGGAAATGCTTCACACCTAAATTCAAATAACACATCAATCACGCCGTAGAAAGAAAGGATACAAAACTTTTTTCCAATCAACATAGATATGAAGTTTGGGGGCTTTGTAATAAAAAATAGTAATGAATATAAATATAGAGGCAAAATTGATGCAGAAGCAAATTAGTGACTTGGACATTTTGTGAAATAGTTTGAGGCTTCAACAGTGATAGAGTTCAACTATCTGATGTTTTATTATTAAGAATGTCAATGCAAAACCAATATTCACCAGCAATACAAAATGAGTTTTGCTAAAGAGATAGTAGAAATTACCAGTCATGCAATACTCCAACAAATCCTCTATCAAGGATTAAGGGAAGGTAGTTGGGCGCACTTGTAGGCACCACATTCATGACCCATACAGATTTCCTAGCTTCCAATAAAGCATTATTGAAACCACCAAAATTAGCATTCATGTCTAGAACATTTCTGACCATGTTAAAAGGTGGAGAAGGATCCTCATCACCAGGTCTCTTTGGATGATCTGAAAATATCAGTGGTGAGAGAAGAGACCAATAATTATGAACTTCTGCGTTCCAGTTATGTTCATCCCCAGCAAAACTTTCTGAATGCAAACCTGATAAAACAAAAGAGTTGATAGTCAATGCAAACATAACACACAATTGTTTTTCTATCAAAATGTTGTTGTTCACTGCACAAAATACTGCAGAGATGACCATAAACATTACCATAAATTGCTAGTTCACTTGAGTTCAATTTAGCCCTAGAAGGCCAAGTTGCCCTTTCTTCAATAGGAATCCATCGACTGCTTTGAGTACCTCCTATGCAGGTTTGGAGTGGTCGATAATATGGAGATTCAACATCATGGTCGTTGCTGCAAATGGAAGGACCGGAACCAGGTTTCCTAAAAAAAAAGATGTAATTTTTACCACAAATTAGGATTACCTATGGTCAAATGACCGTCCTTCCATATTATACATATACTTCAAAACTAAATGAAAAGTAAGGAACTAATCATGGGGGTCTCCTCACCTAGAAACATAACAATTCCTTGAACTAGTCTTTTTCCACACAACGGTTTCATCTTGTTGCGACAACATATGCCAGCAGAGATTTTCCGCTAAATTGTGCACAAAATTCCATCTTTTATGATTCTCTTTGTTGCGAAGGGATCCTTGAGCATTGGTAAGTGGTGAAGTCCAAACAAAGTATCCACCAGGTTTCAAGATTCGGTCAACTTCAATCAAAAGAGTACCATCTGCACCGCATAAGAAAAAGCAAAATTGTTATAAACATTCTAAATTCAACAACCGATACAACTTGATGCTAAGAAACCAGCTAAATATTCTATAGTTAACAAAACTAAAGTATTTGTGCATCACATCAACCTGTTCTTTCGTGGTAAAATTTAAACAAGAGATGAAGCATGATTTTTGCAAAAGGTATTTGCAAGGAGGAGTGCTGCCTTTAGAGGCCCCAAAAGTAATACATAAAATTCTTGAAACTTTAAAAGATGTCTAGACTCCAGTGTATCAGACTCTTCTGTAAAATTGGCCAAACAAAACTCCAAATTTTACTTTCCAGAAACTTTACTTTATTATACCAATAAGTAATCAACAGGTTCTTCAACTTTTCCCTTATGAAATCACAAGTTGCATAGGTATTGATAGCTTCCAAGATGAACCTAAATAAAATAAGTATGGACAAAGCTTATGCTCGATGGACTACTATGTTTATGCCGCACACATGTGCAATATATTACCACTGACTACATCAAATATTAATGGATCTGAAATCCAGATACCCTTTACAACAAATAGATAGTGTCTCATGTAATGCCTTAGAAGATTATATATATTTAAAATAAAAATAATAATAAAATAATAATAAAAAAAAAAAAAAAGAGGAGAACATAAGTTCTTGGTTACCTTCTTCAGCTGGCCTTTTCACAATGAGCAAAAAAAATCATACTAGTCCAACCATCCATTCAGTATCCATAGCAAAACTCAAGAAAAGTAGAAACTCTGCGACATCACTATTCTAAATAGAAACCTAAGATAGTCTACTCAACTCAGTGAAACCTCAAGTCCAAACTACGGAAGATTGGTTTTATGGATTACCTTTAAAGATAGACAGGGTGTGCTGAATCTTTTAACTTTTTGACATTACAGAAGAAAACATGAGAACCATAGTGAATGATATCCAATGTTGAAAAATGAAGAAACAAACTTATTCCTTTTCTATATGAAAGTGCAGGAAGATATTCACCAAATGGTGACTGGTTTTAGATCTTAGTTTACAAGTTAGACGCAGCCAGGTATTATAATAAGGAGTTACATCAGTTTCGATCATTCCAACGAGAACTTTCTATCCTCTCCACAACAAAATATTCACTAATTTTTCCCTTCAATTTTGGCATTTAATCTTCACCATAACATAGAGAAAGTTGTCCTTCGGATATGTACTTGTAAAAACAGTTACTCCAATTTGTTTTTTGACACCAACATTTTTACCTCCAAGAAGGAGCTTTGCTATCCCACATCACAAGTACATAACATACAGCACAAACATTTTTATCCCACAATCAGACCCACAATCAGCCAGGTACTGTTCTCTCATTTTTCCACAAACAGAAGCATGATCCATACAAACATATCCATAAAGAAAATCATATAGCCTCCCATTCTCCCATTATTCACAAACATAGACATAGTAATCTTCAAAGATGCTGGACACGTGAACAATAAAAGGAAATATTGCTTTTGGTCTACATCTTATGTCTATTTCAGCAGTTTGACCAGCTTCAAATATTAATGGAGCTACAGTTACACTTTACTTGGATTTTTTTATTGTACTCAAAATCTGCAAGCACAATAGACATAGCCCTCTTGCTGTTACTTGTCTTCACTACTATCTTCTCCAAAGTAGATACTTAACACACAAAATCACGAAAACAAAGCAATAAATGATCATTAACATATATGTATCTGCCATGTATGAGTATCCTACAGGAAGTATTGATTTTGCAAATAGATTATGCAAAATACCTTTCTGATCCCAGTCAATGCCACATCGTGCACAGTGCAACATATCAAAGGAAAGAGATGGATATGGCAACTGCTTGGAAGTAAAAGAACCAATCATTGCAGGAAGACCTCTTTCAAGAGTTAGTTGAACTTGACTGCCTGTAGCTTCATAATTTGCAATACACATAGTTAACAGTTGTTTTGAAAAGAGATGAGCTCCAAAGCTACCAAAACCACATCCTATATCCAAGATGGTTCTAACCTGAAAATTTTAAAAATAAATAAATAAATCCAGTTATTTTGTTTATCTGTGAGTCTCGTTTTCTTTTTCTTTTTCTGTATCAGAAGAATATACTAAAGAAAAAATAAATAAATGAACAAATGCTTCTATGATTGCCCAAACAAATAGTTGTCAATCATTGCAGACATGATAGGTATAAATTATTGACCATTAGTTGCAAAATTACTTGACATCTGGATTGAGGAGTCTCATGTATTCAATCATGCACACTTCTTTACAAAAAAGCAAGTAGACGTCCAAATCAGATCTTTTCAAAACTTAGTCCAAGTTCAATGTGCCAGAAAATCCTTTTTACATAAATCATTATTTATAATTAGAAATAAACAGAAAAAGTACATAAAGCCCAAACATAAGACATGCAGATAGAAAGAAAATATACAATCATTGCATTACGCCAATTTATGCAACTAAATATTTACAAAGTATTTGCAATACACATCAATTTATACTCTCTAACTTTCAGTTCTGTGGTAATTAGTGACAATAGACTAATCATATGTTCACTCAACTGCAACTTGCAAAGTCATATGTTCAGGCTGAGGTGACAATTTGATAGATTTGCTAAGAAGTTTCGATATACTTTGATTCAAAACTTCAAATTTGCAAAAAACATATAACGCTGAACTGTAATATACGCCAACCATCAAGATTAAGCACCATGAAGAATGAAAGTGCAGCAACAAAACAAATGCATATATATTAAACTCACTGATTATAACAAGCAACCAGTATCCACTTACTCCAGCTTGTATAAAATTAGATTCATTTCGAAGCCCAATCATTTCTGCAATTTGATGAGAGTAGTCTTCAACCCCATCAAACATGAGAGATGCAGAACGGAAGGAGATCTGCTCTTCCTCCAACATCATCATCCTACAACCCAATTGAACGGAATAAGAAATAAAATTCAGGATCTGAGACAAGAGTTTCTCAATAAAAGAAACCAGCACACTCCACTCACCTCTTGGTCAAGCTTCCAGAGGAAAGTACTTCCTGTGCGGTAATTTTAACATTTGCAACCCAAATGACATCTCTTCCAGTGGGCCACTTAAGAGGAATTTTGTAATTGACAGGTGGAAGAACCAAGCAGTTTTGCCTTGACCCACGCCCACAATGGCGGTCATACTCCTTACCTTCAGGAAAATCCAAAGCAAGATTCTCCGAAACAGTGAAGCAGGGAACATAATTTTCAGACTCGGGTGAACAGAAGTCCAACTCTTTAAGTTTTGCAGAACCTTTAGAGATCTCTAAGATTGTTTTTGTGTCAAATACAAGTTGGTCTTGAATATTCTTGTCATGATGTATGTGATCACTTGATGAATTCGTGACTGAGATTGTCCACCAAAAGGATCCAATAAAAGCAAGAATCACAATTACAACTAAACCGAACTTGAGAAAAAGCAAAGTTAATTTGTGCCGACTTCTCAAGGTTCCCGTACTAAATGATGAATTGGATGCTGAAACATTCTCACTAATACCATTAGAGGATGAATTAATAGGAAATCCAAATGATATGGATGTGTGATCAGAAGATGACCGATTTCTATCAGTATCTTCCATTTCTGTTATGTCTTTCATCTGAGAGTTATTCAAGAAATCATGGCCGTTCCCTGACAATCGCCCTCCACCAGATACACCTCGATAGAGTGGCCTCGACATTTTCCAACCTGGAAACCAAACAAACATATTGAAGAAAGAAAGAGAAACCAGAAAAGATATCTCTTTTAATGAGCTAAAACATGAAAAGAATTAAAATGGCGGTCTCTTAAGACTCAAACAAAAACCAAAAAGAACAAAAAAAAATTGAAGAAGAAACAGAGAAACCTAGAAAAGGTCTTCAACAAAATGAGCTAAATCATGAAAGAAAATGAGTGTCTAAGGACAAGATCTGTTCCCAATTTTTCCTACTAGATCCATGATCCCAAAAGCGATGTAGCATATTTTGATTTAGAACAACCATATAAGTACTTGTAAGATCAAAACCGAAAAGCAAATACAGCGTGAAGAATTGAGCAAAGATAAATGAATAGATACATTGGATATAGAGATGACAACATTTTTATACCATGAATGATTTCTTTAATCTCCAGAGAGAATACAAGTCAAGTTCAGTTCAAATGAAATTTACAATTAAAGTACCTCAAACTAAAAAAGAAATTAAACAAGATCCACAATATAAATGCCAAAAAATATGGTTGAGTCAATTGAATTATATGTAGCAAACATATAAAAATCATATTTTGAGTAACAATTCCTTCTTTTGTTTGGGTTTATAACAATTCCAACAAAAAAGACATACAACAATAAAATTAAAAAAATTAAAAAAAAGTAGTTGCGGAAGAAAACATACCTGAAATTTACAAAGAGTGAGCACTATCCAAAACTCAGACAATCATGATCCAATTATCGTGAGTTGTTACCCAAAAACACTTACTTCATCCTCACAATCCCTTTCTCTCACTAGCTCTAGAGAGAGAGTGAGGGGTTTTCTACATCCATCCAATCACAACAGAGCTGAAAGACTATCCTTATATCGTTATATATCACCAGTAGAGTTCAATCTCAAGTGTAATTCTAAGTTTATATATAGAAACCAATCACAATCCCAATCCACTAGTCACTAAAAAAATTCTAGTGAGAGAGTGTTTAGGGAGAGAAAATGAAGTTCCCCGGAAGAGACTCATACAAAACCAGAGCTCGGCTGATAATGACTCTCTCTCTCTATAGAGTAGAATACCAATCAATGTATATACAAACCGATATGTACGTAATTACCTATAACGAGATAAACTCTTCACACGAGCATTAGCCCAGAAGATAAACCCTAAGTCTCTGGTAAATCTCAAAATCTTGATTCCCCCACTCTGAAACGTAAATTGAAGTTTACACTTCTACCTATATACATATATATGTATATCGATATGGATGATATATATATAATCGACAGTGAAGTTTATCTCTCTATATTCTCTCAATAGGATTAGCTTTTGGAATCACTCCCTCCAATCTTAGACAGATTTTCAACGGTAATTACTCAATATAATCATTTTATTACCTTTTGCCCTTTTGGGTAAATTACTAAACTCGTGACATTAATCATTTAAAAAAAAACAATTAATTTTTTATTTTATTTTTTCAGATTATTAAGTACGAGAAGTATATAAATTGCTAGATCACAACTACTTTTAAATTAAAATGAATAAATAAGTAAAAAGAAAATGATAGTGTGTGAGGGCCACCATAACAAATTGTGAATCTCCTACGTACCATTGATGGATTAAGGATTTGCTGATGGATTGCAGTCGTCACACGTGATGAAAGTTGGGTAATGATCAAGTACATTTTAGAGGCAATGCTCCACATTTTTGCTTTGCCAATCATGAAAAGACACGTTGAGTTATAAGCTTGATGCATCGATCTCATTCGAGTTGTAGGTACTGTACATGTACAGTCAAGTGTTGTGCATGTATAACTCAAATGATCCAGTGGATTGCCATAGGAATATTAATATGAATGAATTTCATGATTCATATAAATTTAAATTGACCAAACTTGACTAATCTAAGAAAAAAATCCGTCAACTAATTTCTTGGAATTTAATAGTTCATAAATTACAAAAAAGTCCAATAGATTTAAGGATTTCTTTTAATTGACTCTATATATATATATATATATATATATATATATATAACGTTTAATTGACTATTTCCTCTACTACATGATCAAGAGAAGAAAATGATAGTCTTTAAGGGATAGTGATTAGCAATTTTACATGTTGAAAAAGTATGTTATATTATGTATTACTAAAAAGTGAACATTTTATTTTCTAACAATATAACATCTAATTCAGACAAGTACAAATGAGATGATGTGAGTTTTATCAGTAACATCTTGAAAGTTGGACGATTCCGAAAGCGATGGTATATATTTATATGTACTTGATAAAGTATGTTATGTATAAATTTTTAAAATTTATAATTTTTTTTTTAATTGTATCAATAATAAAAAGTAACGATGGAAAGGAAACAAAGATAAATGACCATCAAGGTTTAGCTTAAGGTGCTGGATATCTCTTTTTTCCATGCAATATTTGAATTCCAAAAAAAAAAAAAAAAAAAAGTATGTCATTTAAGAAAAAGAAAGTTGGGGGTAAAAACAACCCTTAATTTTTTATATAATGCATATAACATTTATGTATAAGGGAATGCATATATATCTACAATCTACTTTGGAAAAATATTGCACTTAAATTACCATTTATTATAATATAATTATTAAACTGAATATGTGCTGCTCATATGATCAAGAGTTATCACTTAATTGATAAACTGAATTTGTTAAAGACAATATAAAAATATTTTTTTCCTGTACATTTTGATTTTGTTTTGAATTTTTTGACATGTCAGCTTAACTAATTTTATTTTGATTCATCTTCCTTTTTTTTTTTCTTTTTTCTTTTTATAATTGAATTTTACTGCTCCAACAAATAGGTGTCACAAGTCAGTTTTTAACCATTTGTTTTGTGAGCGGTAAAAGGTAGGGTCCATGTAGTCAAGTGTCGGTGGTGCCTTCAGCTGACACGTTGCTTATTTATGGATCACAGTTCAGGTGCGCATCACACAGTATCAGTGCTCTTCAATTCTTTGGCTTTTTGGACCATATATATATATATATATAAATAGCACTTAACTCTCAATTTTTTATTTTAAAGAAAAATAATAAAAGTTCCAATTATTATTGTTATTTATTTTTTTATTTATTTATTTTTTGTTGATAAGAAACACAATTACACTCCTCCACTTTTTACCCGCATCAAGGCACAAATCCCTCATTAATGTGAAGGTTATAATTTTTATCAATTTTTAAATTGAACGGATGCTTTAAGAGACAAATTGAAATATCATAACAATTATACTATCTTAAAATAAGAAAAAATATCACTAAATCACAGATAACTACAAAATCATAGTTATGATTATCACTTTTTATGAGTCCACCATATAATAAGAGGAAAGGTTTTAGAGACCTTTACGTGATTATTTGGAGTTGGTGTTATGCCATTGGGTAACCAATAATACATGTTATGAGGAAAGGTTTTAGAGACCTTTACGTGATTATTTGGAGTTGGTGTTATGCCATTGAGTAACCAATAATACATGTTTTGAAGCACTGTCGACAAAATTTTCTTGAATGACTCAAACTCTCAATCTTTTATTTAAGAAGAGGATAACGAACTATAAACAACAAAAATGCTCAATATATAATAATTATATTAATATGTTCAAGTAGTTATTTTTTTTTTTCTTTGACCAGTAATACACCCTTCAAATGCCACACTTGAGAGAAGAGGAGGCGTGGCCAAGTAAGCATTTTTCTATAAACCTAAAAATTCATTCCTTAAAATTAAATTTTCATTCACATCTCCATCTCTACTTTAAAATTGAATTTGAACTTTTTAAGTACTGATTACAAATTAAGAATTATTTTAATATTTTTTTGAATTTCAAGTGTTCAATAATAAATAAAGTATGTATTTACTCTCTAAGAGGAAAATGATGTTAGAATCAAATGTTTTTAATTGTTAGAAAATAAAAAAGTAATCATGTTACTCATAACGTGCAAAATGACCCACATTTTGACTTTTGTTCCCACCATGACCCCCAATAACGGTACAATAAACATGATCCACTTATAAGCAATTGACCTACCTTTTTTCACTTCATTAATTCATGAAACGACTGCAACCAAGTAACTACTAATTTCATGAATGCTTTTCGCCGTACCAGATCTTCTATCACATATATATATATATACAAATACAATCTTCAAATTCATTTTGTTTGATGTGCAGGGTCAACGTTAAAAGTAACAAAATGATGTTTCTATGGTGGGGTTGCTTCGATGTTAAACAAATCAAATGCACTCAAAATCTGCCTAATATTTTTTCACACTATTAAAGTTTTGAATTTTTTTACTACCAGGGATATTTATGTAATTTGGCAAAACAAATATATAATTTATAAGATAAATTTAACTTACTTCTCCTAAAGTTTGTTATTATTCATTTCATAATCTCACTTAATTTATTTTTTCCACATGAAATATTTGCTGTCATTTCAAGTATTGGAAGGGCAAAATTAAATTTTTAATCATTGACAAGAGAGGTAAGAGATATTTATGTAATTTGGCAAAATAAATACAGTATATAATTTATAGGGTAAATTTCACTTACTTCTCTTGAAGTTTGTGATTATCCCACGTAAATTTCTTTACATTTCATAACCACACTTAACTTTTTTATATTATGTTATTTTACCATTTTGCACATGAAATATTTACTGTCATTTCAAGCATTGGGAGGGCAAAATTAACTTTTTAGATAATGGAACGTAGAGAGAAATTTACGTGCAATATTGACAACCCTTAGAAGATTTAAAGTTTTTGGTGCATGGAGTTTATGCAAAGGAAGCTAATTTAACTATAGTCTCATGTTATAATATAGCATATTGCACTGTTCTTGATAAAAGGTGATTTTAACTATTTAATTCTAGGTTTAGCTGGAAATTAAATTCCTACATACATTTTTATATGCAAGTCAATTGTGATCATACTCTAAGTGAATCTTGGCCTTCTTAGTTTGAGTGGACGATGACAATATGATTATATAATTTAAGAGGTAGTAATCTTAAATTAAAAAATGTATATGCGTGCTAGTAGATAAAGTCAACGTTTAGCAAATCGTAAGTGGATCTTGACCCTCTTAGTTTGACTCCATAGCGACATATTTTTTTAGTGCACTAAACTTCTTATTAAGAACTTTAATAATTTATTGAAAGAGAATGATTTAGAAAATGGATTTTTTTGGTGTTGGGTAAAAACGATGTTGTACCGTATTTAATATTGTTGGTCCGTGCAAAATATTGTGGAAGATATCATTGACCTTTTAAGGCAATTTTGAGTGGTAAGCTTAATTATGTGTTCCTAGGAACTTTAATTTTAAAACATAATAACATGTGTGCGTGTATCCACAGTCCACAAGGTCAGCTTGAATTCATATATCATACAAAGTATGTGGGCAAGGGTAGTAAAATTTGACACGATACGTTAATACGATTCGAACACGATACGAAATAAGTGGGTTTGAATTTGACTTAATCGTGTTCATGTCGTAATGGTGTCAACCTGAATTGACACGGTAATTAAACGTGTCGTGTTCGTATTTGACCTACCAATCCGTTTATAACCCGTTTAACTAAATGTGTCAGATAAACGTGTCGTGTTCGTATTAAAAATGATCCGTTTAGCTAAGCGTGTTAAATAAACATGTCGTGTTCGTTTCAGAAATGACTTAAACGTGTCTTATTGTGTCATTTTGTGTCGTATCAAGTCTTGATCCGTTTATCAAACGGGTTGCGCGTGTCGTGTCATGTTATTCGTGTAATAATCGTGACAAGGTTTCTTGACACGAATTATAATCTTGTCTTATTCGTGTCGACCCATATAACAGAATACTCATGCTCTGACATGATATGAACATGACCCACCAACACGAATTGACACCCTTGTGTGTGTATATAAATTATTGTATGTGTAAACATATTAAAAGGGGGTTAATGGCGAAATTTGAAAAAATAAAAAATAAAAAACCCTAGGTTAGTGAAGTGGGTTTGAAAGTTGACCATTAGATTTAATCTTATTAGTAAGAGATCAAGACTCTTTATTCACACACACAGACAGACAGAATAAAAAAAGTTTTAAAGGATAGTTTTGTTTTAAAGAAAGTTATGATTTTCATGTTCCTTAAAAATAAAAAAGGAATATTAAAACAGCTAAAAAAAGAGTTAGTGATATATATATATATATATATTGTTTGAATACAAAGAAAGACTATACATACACACACACACATATATATATATTAAAATATTTTAAATTAAAAGTAATGGTAGTCAAAAGTGAAGGCGGAGGAGATACAAATAATCCGTACGTTTATTCATGTTGTCTCATACATATCATCTCATGTATAATGCTTTTGATCATTTGATGTTGAGAGGCACTATCATCCTTTTAGTTAAGATTTTACTTACAAGGATTTCATTGATCAAGAATCAAATACCTTCAAGAAGATAAACTAAAAAGATCACACCATCCCATTATTGTCTAATTTTATTGGTCCAATGAGCTTAGATGGTTGTAGTTAATCCTGTCATTATCAAAAGGCCAAAAAATAAATAAATAAATAAATAAATAAATAAAAATAACTAACTGTTATGATTCCTTATGGGTTTTAAATAGTCTCTAATATTTAATTTTGAAACAATTAAATAAGGACATGAATGTTGAAAAAACTAAAATATTCCTATATAACTTAATAAAAAAATAAGTAAAATATTAATTAAATATGAAATGATCAAATTGTCCCTTTTTATATATAATATAGGGTTGTTAGCAAAAAAAACCCTTATGGTATGTGTTACAAGAGAATATTTGTCTCACATCGGATGGGAAAGTGATTGGGTATAAATGGGTGAATATACATCACTACCCAACAGCTTGAGTTTTTAGGTAAATAAACAAGCACCCACCCGTTACCGTTGGTATCAGAGTCAAACCCAATCTTTGATCTGGTGTCACACCAAGTACTCGGCCTGGAAAGTGTCAGGGCGAGCCACCCCAGGTAGGCACGGTGGCCCAACCGCAACGAGCGCGTTGCGAGTTCGGATGGGGGAGAATGTTACAAGGGGATATTTGTCCCACATCGGATCCGGATAAAAGAGTGATTTGATATAAATGGATAGGTATACAATACTATCCAACAACTTGAGTTTTTTAGTAAATGGGTGGAGGAGAATGTTACAATGGGGATATTTGTTCCACATCGGATCCGATCCGAATAAGAGAGTGATTGGATATAAATGGGTAGGTATGCAGTACTACCCAACAATTTGAGTTTTTGGTAAATGGGGAGAATGTTACAATGGGGATATTTGTTCCAAAATCATAAGTTTTTAGTAAATGGGGAGAATGTTACAATGGGGATATTTGTCCCAAAATCATAATATTACTGAATGTTAAACTTAACGGACTTATATACACAACATAAACCCTTATTTGCTCATTTTTTTCAAACTTAACAGATTTATATACATAATATAAACCATAAAAATATTATTTGCCCAACATGTAAATATTAAACGTGTTTTTTTTTATTTTATTTTATCCTTATTGGTACGTTCAGTTAATAAAAATTCACTATAAAATAAAATGAGTCCTACCATCTAAAAAAAAAAATACTCAAAACTGATTTCACAAATTGATTTGTTAAAAATTATGACATAATATGCCCGACTCACTGTATGCCACTAGTGGTCCTGTGTTTGGTTGAGATTTTAACTTTAGGAGTCGCATAACATACGTCCTCAAAAGAGAAAGTCGTGACCTTTACATGTGTAGGCTAGCAAAGCTACACCTTTGGTTCAAAGTAGACATAACACCTAATACGTAATGGAATAGCCAAATCAAAGTGCTAATCGAATCCATCTTTACAAAAATTTATTCTATTTTCTCTTCCCTTTTCATTTCCAGATAGTGAGATGAGACTTGATGTCAACATGACCAAATCAGAACCTTCAAAAGTGCTCTCAACGCGCTTCAATTTTGCTATCATCATTTTCGTTTATTAATTGTTGTATGTATACATGTGTGTGTTTAAATTATCTGACGTGCATACCAGTTGGGCTATTGCCGTGTCACCTTAAATTCTCTGTGTATTGCACTAGCTAGGGCCCGGAGATCAACCACCCTCTTTTGATAGTGCATTCTGGGTAATGTCAGTTATCTCATAATAATTGATCATGCCAATTCAATTACATTAAATGTGTACACATATACAATATTTACTAGTTCTTTATTTATTATTTATTTTTTCAACTCTCGGGTGAGCCATTCAAGTTTGCCGGTGCACTCTAGAAGAGGTAGGGTTTGGCTGAAACAGACTCATATACATTTTTTTTGTCCACACCCGGACTCGAATCCTTTCCCTCCTCTTTAAGAATGGTGAGCCCTTTAGTCTTTAGAGAAGTGTTATTGTTGTTCTGTATAGGTTATGGTTGGATAAATACATTTAAAAAAAAAAAAAAAAAAAAAACACAAACAAACAAACTCTCCCTTCTTACACACACAAAATGATTGTTGAACACCGTAGAAGGCTGCATCAGATTCATTTGATGAGAACTTGGCATGTGGTCATTAAGTTGACAACCATGACCATGATGTTTTTGGCAGCATCAACTTGTGACATTTGATTATTACTGCTCCTTATGTTCTATTAATAAAGTTTGCTAAAACTAAGAAAAGTTTCATGTCTAGTATATCTTATAAAACACTACAATAATAATTGCTTGAATTGCAGCCACGGCATGGTAGGGTGAGGTCCACCACCAACCCACAGGACCCCAAACAATGCATGTGATGTGTTTTTCAGTATTAAAGTTGTTATAGCAATTATCAGCCACGTAGGGTTACCCAGTGCACGAGCCTCCTACCACTGCAGAGTCGGGAGAAGATTAGATGTACACAACCTTATTTCCGCATGCGAGAGACTATCTCATGTAAAAACGAATATATCACAACAATAGAGTAGCATAGGCTCATAGTTAGGAATGCTAATATCAAATAGAGGGTACTGCACAACCATGCATGTGATTTCACGGACGAAATTAACATAAAACAATACTCAGATTCAGCGGAAGAGGGTGTGACAGTGAATTGGCTTCAACTTCAAGCCTCTGAAGAGATAGGGCTATTGCCTTACATGTCCCAGTGCTTGTTCTCTTCTGTATAGTCAAGGGACAACTTGCCCAATTTGAATCACAATTTGATAGTAACTGCAGAATACTTTTGGACTATAGGAAAATTCATTGTCCTATGGTCCCCTTTTTGATAATATAGCTCCCTTGTCACTAGGACCCAAGTCCTTAATCTGAAAATGTACGTGGATGTTTGGTCATTGGTGGAGTTGTTGAAATTGTTGTGATTTGTGTCGTTATGATGAATGCACGGTAGGAGATCCTTAAACAATTCTCTTGACCAACCCACAGGAGCCTCAGGACCCCAAAAAATGCATGTGGTGTGTTAATACATACCTTGAGGGCACTTCCATAGTGCAGCCTCCTACCTCTGCAGAGTCGGGAGAAGATTAGATGTACACAACCTAATTCCCGCATTCGAGAGACTTATCTCCTGTAAAACGAATTTATCACAACAATAGAGTATCACGGGCTCATGGTTAGGAATGCTAATATCAAATAGAGGGTACTGCAATCTTGTAATTTCACAAGACAAAAAAATTTAACGTAGAACGATACTCAGATTCAGCGGAAGAGGAGGGTGTGACAGTGAATTGGCTTCAAGCCTCTCAAGAGAAAAGGGCTATTGCCTTACATTGGCACAGTGCTTGTTCTCTTCTGTATGGTCAGGGGACAACTTGCCCAATTAAAATCACAATTTGATGATAGTGACTGCAGACTACTTTTGGACTATAGTAAAATTCATTGTCCTATGGTCCCATTTATGATAATATAGTTCCCTTGTCACTAGGACCCAAGTCCTTAATCTGAAAATGCTAGCTGATATGACATCCTTGCCCACAATAATTTATCATCAACGTAGAGACATATAGGCGCATGAGCTTTCAGTTTTGATTAAACAAAACCACTTCAGTGAATCAGTTAGGACAAAACAGTAAAAGGGTTGTAATTTGAAGTGTAACGGAGAAGATAGAGGAGTAAAAGAAATTATTCTTGATTAGCATTTGATAGAAGAATAAGAAAATTTTCTAATTATTGTAAACACACTTATCAGAACATTCAGTAATATTAGCTAAGAAATACAGATCAATTTTAGAATAACCTTTCATTTAACATTCAGTAATATTACGATTTTGTACCATAAAGACAAATCTTTTTTCAAACAAAGTCAGTCTACAATAATAAAATATAAATTGTTCAAACTGAAATCATGACAAGAAGATTGCATTGATTATGAGACAAGATAGAGTATGAATGCAGGTTCTTTGAGTAGATCCCTTGGCCTTTTCCATTACTCGTTTATCTGCAGATATAGATAATCTCTTAACGCTCATCACAATACATGATCAAATCGAATTTTTTTATGTTGAAGTACGTATATTTCGCTGTTATGTTGCACTAAATAATGTGTCAAATTCAATTTCAGATTTCGTTTCTAATTGTTTCTTGTTTGTCTTTTAATTAGCTTGTGTAACAATTCTCGAAAAATTTTGAAACCATTGATAGTTTATTAAGCAATTTTTTTTCCCTCCTTGGTTGACCTCTTATTACCTAATCTCTGGCTTTTTTGAAATGATTCCCAACTAAAATCCACCTGTGACGGGAATTTAATATGTTTAGAATTGCTTGTTATTAGGGGTCTTAGGTTCATTTGCTAAGGAGTAGACCTTAGGCCAAAAAAATTGATGACTGACATAAGGTTCAAGGACTCGGATTCAGAACATCATGAAGCACTAAAGACTCGGCTAATCAAATCCCTCTCAAATTGCTTAACCAAAAATTTATAGGGATCAATAATATGCCATTTAGCTACTCAGCTTCCACCATCTTATCCATGAAAAGCTTCAGCCTATCAGTATCAACTAATTTACTCAGAGAACCCAAGACACACTAGAGAGTTATGCAAAACTGCATTAGAATACGTATAGGCCGAGGGATCTTCAAACCAACTTTAGAGAATTTCTAAGAATGTACCTTATGAAATTCATGTGCTTTCTATTTCAAAGACATTTCCCAACTATCTCATTCTCTATAGTTACTTTAACCCCATAAAGTATAATCTAAGGGACTCATAAGAGAAATAACAAAAAACATCAGTATTTGACATCAATAAATAGAATATACATCATCTACAGTCTACAGACCAGATGTTCAGCGGTACTGTGAGGTGCAATTATCATGGTTTTTGCAGTGGCCTCATGGGTTACATGGCAACATTTAAAACCCCTCTGAAATCGAACTGTATTATCATGCATGTCTATTGGCCCATTAACATGAACATGAAGAACAACTATGTGCAGATTATTATGAAATCCCACAGCAGCTTAATATTGAAGCAGAACTGAATTAAATTAGCAATCTTCTGGTAAGATGTCTGCAATTTAGTTTATCTACGCTTCAAATTGTGAATATTAAAAAGATCTTGCAAAGTCAGAGTTGCACAGAAGATAATAAATCATTCAACTAAATGTGTGCATGACTAATGAAAGATTCCTTAGGGTGCACAAAATATCCAAGCGTTTTGTAGTGAAATCAAATAAATACTTGCCAAGAAATATCAAATTATGATCATAACAATCCAAAAAAAAAAAATTCATAAAGACCTAATTCGAAAAGGTGGTGGTATGAGAGAAGAGGGTGGAAATGAGAGCAAGTAAAAGAACAGGGATGTGAAAGCCACAGGGCGTAGATATTTTACAACTGATATGTCCCACTCTTACCTTTATAATCACTACCATGTAATTTTGAAAGGTCCAACTTTTCTTGATATAGTTTCAACAACTGAGGAGCTTCCTCATAACAGGTCACAAACTTCTTGAGGAGCCAGTTCTCTGTGGACTCCAGCAATGTCTGTAAGCTAATTGGCTTCTTAATCAAACCTTTCGACAACAAAACAAGAAGTACTGAACACCTGGGAATTATCCTCTTCCCTAAGCTTAGTGACATTAATTTCGGACAATGGGCAATTAGAGAAGACTCCCAACCCATCGTGTTGGCATAAAAATTCAGCGATGCCATTATCTTCTCCTCGGATAATGTCATGCACCACGGATCTTTTGCAAAAGCCAACTTTGTTTCTTCCTCAGACCAACCACACTTCTCATAAACCTCCATCATCCTTTTCCATGTTGATTTGCTCATTGACGTCAATGCTCGAACCACTATAACAAACAGGCTTTTTGAAGGTTCAAAACCCATTTTCTTAACATCCTCCACTACCTCATTGAATCTATCAGGATTTAAGTTGAGTGACCTATGCTGAGCAATAAGTAAGAACACAATATTCGAATCCAACACGCTATGTTGTCTCAAAATTTCAATCTTGCACAATGAAGTAGCACTGTGACAGCACACTCCAACCTCAGGAAATTGTTTAAAGGCCACCATAAACTTATCATTTGAATGGAAAAAACTCATAAAAATATTGAAAGATGGTATGATATGGCTCTTCAAGCTCCATTTCACTATTGTTGGGCTAGTGGATAATATCTTGGCGAGCTCGGTGCTGGAAATGCCAATGGAGTCCGGTTATTCTTCGGCCTGTGTTTGGACTTAATTTATTTTTTGGGCTTGACTTATTTAAATTGGTTCTTTCATGAAAGGTCATGACTGGTCCGAACCAGTGCATCAAAGGGTTGCATTTGGTTCGAACTAGTGCTTCAATTTGAATTTGAATTGAATCAATTTTTTTCAAAGGGTTGCACCTGGTGCTATTTGAATGAACCATCATGTCATATGGTTTCTCCTACCCAAAAAGGCACCTTGCTGCCTTTAAATACCCCCCTTGGGATCATTTGCTAATCACTCCAAATTCAGAATACTTCTTCTCTTATTCTGAATTTTCTCTCCTCTTCTCTCTTCTTGCATTCATATAGCAATAGTGTGACTTTGAGTCCAGTCTATAGGAGGGAGAGTACTACACCGAGCCGGTTTGCCCATTTCTTCGGTTTGCAGTGCTGCTACTGGAGAAAGAAAGGTTGTTGCATCCTAAGAGATAGACGCCACTGAGTCCGTCAGCACCATAGCAGGACGAATCTGTCTTAAGGACATGAAATCAAATTCTAGCCTCGACCTATTATCAGGTTCTTTTATTTTTATATAGTTTTATTTTATTATATATAACTATATTTTATTAGAAAATTATGTATATATTATTATTGTTTTTTAATAATAATTATATATATATATATACACATTATATTTTTACGTAATATATAAATAGTAATACTATAGCATATGGTATACTTAAGACAATTTTGGACAACAAATTGTAGCATTCTTTTGATCTCAATTGTGTGCTTTTAGCCACAATCCTTTTATGCAAAAGTAATTTCCACATTTTGATTCCATTGGTACAATTGCAAGGTTTAGAGGTGAATTCCATGTCTTAAGTCTCTATCTCTCTTATATGTCTTATATTGTTCATTACTACTCACTTCATTGCATTCTAGAGAGCTTTAATTCTAGCTGTTAATTAGAATCAAACAAACATCACTTCCTTTGCATCATTTGTTCACTAATTGGAAATCGAATCAAGCCGATAGTCCTTGTTCCATACTCGTTATACTATATAGTAGTAGTGATTTTTACAAATTTAAAGTTGATTTCTCGAGTTTCTATAACCATATTATCAAATCGATCGCGAGAGTGACACCAACATTTGGCGCCATTGCCGGGGACTATGGTTCAATTGATTCAATTTGAAAATAGTGACCATTTTGATTGTTAGTTTAAGATTTGCCGGGGAATTTAACATGTTTAGAATTGCTTGTTATTAGGGGTCTTAGGTTCATTTGCTAAGGAGTAGACCTTAGGCCAAAAAAATTGATGGCTGACATAAGGTTCAAGGACTCGGATTCAAAACATCATGAAGCACTAAGGACACGGCTAATCAAATACTCTCAAATAGCTTAACCAAAAATTTATAGAGATCAATAATATGCCACTTAGCTACTCAGCTAATCAGCTTCCACCATCTCATCCGTGAAAACTTCTAGCCTTTTAAGCATCAGCTAATTTCCTTAGAGAATCCAAGACACGCTAGAGAGTTATGCAAAACTGCATTCGAATAAGTATAGGCCGAGGGATCTCCAAACCAAGTTTAGTGCATTTCTAAGAATGTACCTTATGAAATTTATGTGCTTTCTATTTCAAAGACAATTCCCAACTATCTCATTCTCTATAGTTATTTTACCCCCATAAAGTACAATCTAAGGGACACATAAGAGAAATAACAAAAACATCAGTAAATAGAATATACATCAACTACAGACCAGATGTTCAGTGGTACTGTGAGATACAATTATCATGGTTTTTGTAGTGTGACAGGAAATATCGCTCAAATTATTAGCTTATGGTGGCCTCATGGGTTACATGGCAACATCTAAAACCACTCTAAAATCGAACTGTATTATCATGTATGTATATAGGCCCATTAACACGAACATGAAGAACAACTATGTGCAGATTATTATGAAATCCCACAGCAGCTTAATATTGAAGCAGAACTAAATTAAATTAGCAATCTTCAAGTAGCATGGCTGCAATTTAGTTTATCTATGCTTAAAATTGAATATTAAAATGATCTTGTAGAGTCAGAGTTGCACAGAAGATAATAAATCATTCAGCTACATGCGTGCATGATTAATGAAAGATTCCTTTGTGCTGCTCAAAATCTCTAGGCATTTTGTAGTGAAATCAAATAAATACTTACCAAGAAATATCGAATTATGATCATAACAATCCAAAAAAAAAAAAAAGAAAGTTCATAGAGACTTAATTCGAAAAGGTGGTGGTATGAGAGAAGAGGGTGGACAAAAGAGCAAGTAAAAGAACAGGGGATATGTAAGCCAGTTCAGTTAGGGAGTAGATATTCTACAACTGATATGTCCCACTCTTACCTTTAGAATCACTACCATGTAATTTTGAAAGGTCCAATTTTTCTTGATATAGTTTCAGTAACTGAGGAGCTTCCTCATAACAGGTCACAAACCTCTTGAGGAACAAACTCTCAGGGAGCGCAAAAGATGTCATTGCACTAATGGGATCCTTAATCAAACCTTTAGACAACAAAACTTGAAGCACTGAACACCTGGGAATTATCCTCTTACCCATGCTCAGTGACATTAATAGTGGACGATGGGCAATTAGCGAAGGCTCCCAACCCATTGTGTTGACATAAAAATTCAACATGGCCATTATCTTCTCCTCAGATAACTTCATGCAACACGGATGTTTTGTAAAAGCCAACATTGTTTGCTACTCAGACCAACCACACTTCTTATAAACCTCCATCTTCATTTTCCATGTTGATTTGCTCAGTGACAACAATACCCAAACCGCTAAAACAAAATTGCATTTTGAAGGGTCGAAACCCATTTTCTTAACATCCTCCACTACCTCATTAAATCTCTCAGGATTAAAGGTGAGTGGCCCATGCTAACCAATAAGTAAGAACACAATATTCGAATCTGGCACGCCGTGCTGTCTCAAAATTTTAATGATGCGCAATGAAGTAGCACTGTGACAGCGCACTCTAGCCTCGGGAAATTGTTTAAAGGCCGCCATAAACTTATCATTTGAATGGAAGAAACTCTTAAAAAAATTGAAAGATGGTATGATTTGGGTCTTCAAGCTATGTTCCAATATGGTTGGGCTAGTGGATACTATGTTGGCGAGCTCGGCGCTGGAAATGCCAGTGGAGTAAAAGAATTCGAATTTGGGCAAAAGAGTATTCTTGGGATCCACCAAGAGAAGCCTTGGGCATTTTCTGATGAGAGTTGAGATCTGGGTTTTGCTGAATCCATGGTTCTTGAAGAAGTTGAGAACTGAATTTGGTTTGTCTAGGGTTTTAAAATCGACATGTTTGGAAGCTGAAATAGCAGTTTTTGGACTCAACCCACATGAATTGATGAGGTAATTGATTGTAAATGAGTGTTGATTTGTGGAAGTTGAGATGGATTTGAGAGATGATGAGAGTGGATGAGTTTGAAGGGCATACGGTTTACGTATTGTTGAATCTAAAACAGAAAAGCACCTAAAACGAACAAGTGTTTTACTGTATATAGAAATCATTGGTAATGAAAGGTGTAATGAGGAAGTAACTTACCCGATCGTTAATATTACGTGCTCTTCAACCCAATCTCCTTCTCTAGGGTTTGACAATAAGTTCTCTTTGGATGAAGCAAGCTTAAGACAGTAGGCTGGATATGTAGATAAAAAATAAAAAATAATAATAATAAAAAAAAAACATAAGCGACGACGTTTGATATATCATTGCTCCTCCAATTTACTTTTCGCTCTCCCTTCATCTAAATTCTGAATGCATTGGCATTTTCACCTGAGATTAGGACTTTAATACATAATTAATAATGTAACATTTAGTTTATCTATATTCTCGACAACTCTTCGTGATGGTTAAAAAAAAACTCTACGTGTTATTTCTTTTATAATAAGCGTATTTATTTCTAAATTTTTATATTTATCTTCTTTTTATTAGCCGTGTTTATTAATTTTAACAATTACACATATTCAATTAATTATGAATATTGTTTTGCATAAAAAAAGACATTCATTTTTAAATAAGATTTACATAAGATTTTGATAAAACACAACACAAGTGAATTTTTAATTTAATAGCATATATTATACTATAGTTAATACGAGACATTATCAGGAGTCATAGCGGATTTATTATTATTTTTTTATAATAAAATAACTAATGTCAAGAAAAATAATTAAAAAAGATGTGATATTTACGCTCCAATAAGATCGCTAGCGCTCCACTCCCAGTTTTATTATAGTCAAATGACAAAAGTGTCTTTATCAGGAGGAATTCTATACCACTGCATCTCCTTTCTCATACTCCATCTTTTTCGGATTGTTTCCCCTTTTTTCTGTTCTCTTTTTACAAAGCAAACTGTCACGGGGTAAGAGTTTCAGCACCACTCTAGCTAAACTCGTGTAGCACCAAGGTGTTGTTTCTACTAGCACAAGCATTTGGTCAGTCTAACTACCATGCATACATTAGCCAACACACTCCTCTCGTACGTGTACTAGTATTGTAGTGGCCCTCGCTCTCACCTTCACTTGGCTTGCATACTCACACACACTAAGGCACTTAAGTTGGCAAAGAATGAATACCTCTATTACTTCAAAGAATGCTTTGTACAAGGATAGCTCTCAAACGTACTCTCTGATAAGTGCTTAAATGTTACACATTTCAGCACCTAAACTAGGGTATTTAGTCATTGCATCTATCTTATTTTTATGTTTTAGTTCTAATTTATGTTTTTGTCAATTTCAGGTCAATAAGGTTCAAACGGACTAATTTTGGTTTACGAAAGCCTTTTTAGAGTCAAGCAAAGACATTCAGAAAAAGTTCAGAAAATGCAAAAAGAGGTCGCAACCCATTGCTCGTATAGTGTGTTTATTATTCAAAAGCGGTCAATCTCGGGCCTTTGATGATGTTCCCAAAGATGAAGAAACAAACCAATTAGCTCGAGGCCAAAAATGGAGCTAAATAAGGCTTAAAGGAAATTTTCAACTCTAGGGGATCGATCCCCCACTATTCACAGAATTAAAAATGCCCTTGGGGGATCGATCCCCAAGGCTGTGGGATCAATTCCCCAGCACCTGGCAACATTATGGAATTTTCTTATTTTGGGCTTATTTTTGTAATTTATGAGCTTTAATAGGGTTTGTTACTTAACGCCCAGTGAGCCATTAATTTAGGATTAGTTTTTATTTTATTTAAGGAGTTTTTAATTTATTAATTAAAGAAGGATTTTAGGTTTTATTTTTTCTGTATCGATATATTCTCTCAGGAAAAACACGCGAAAGAGGAGAAACAAAGAACGGGCTAGGGTTTGGAAGAGGAAGCTCAGAGATGATGAAACAAATGATGGAGATTGTTCCGTTTTTGAATCCGTCAATCATGAGTGGCTGATTCTTCTACTTAGGGTTGGATAAACCCTAAACATGTAACCTAATATTTCTCTTTTCACTTTTTGGGGATGAATTTGTGTAATTAGTGTATAGCCTTGAATGTTTATGAATAAATTCTTCCATTTGATTATCTATGTCAATATTATGTTGTCTTATGTGTGTTTGATTGTTAAACAAGTTCTACACTTGAATTCTTTGTTAATTGATTCTTGTGATGGCTATGCATGGTATTAATTAGATGTAATCGTGTTTAAATTGATGAAAAATTACTTATATTTGATGGATGGCACTACATGTTTAGGTTAATTTATTATCTAATTAGTTTTAAATTCATGTTTAATTAGTTTAATTAATTTAATTGCAATTCAATTATTAGGTAAGTAGACCATCCATACTTATGTTTGAATTCCATACTTTTTGTCACAATGCATTATCTTCTAGATTAATGTAGGCTAGAATTGTAACTTGAAATGATGGATCATTCTTTGGATTGGTGAATTGCACTACATTTAATTTATTTGTTATTAGGTAGGCAATTTAGGCTTGAAATTGATGCTTCACACTTTTCTTTGCAAGTATTAGCTACATTAGAGTTACACTTAATTATTTCCCTAATTAGTTGAAAATAAGTGAGTTAGGGAATGTGCTTAGTGGTGAATCATACACCCTAAGTCTCTTTCCAATCTTTTAAACTCCATTATTTTATTGCAATCAGTTAGCTTAAAGTTAGTCTAATCACAAAACCAAACCTTTTTAGTAATCACATAAGCATGGAATTCAGTTGATACTCCTTAAAGTAGAATTCAGTTCTGAAAAACCTATAATTGTTTAGATCTCTTGGGACGATCCCTGCTCATTTGATACTCCATAGTATAAGTGTTTAGTGGTTTTACAAATTTTAAAATATGGTGCCCACTTGACATTATTTCTAAACCTAAAGTGTTGTGTATTATTTTGTGCACACGCTCGGTCGCATCATAGTTTTGGCGCCGTTGTCAGGAATCAAATGGTTTTTAAAAGAATTGAATTAGACATTAGTTCTTTATTGATTGTTTACTTTTAAGTCATTTTAATTTTAATTTTCTCATTTGATTTGTCAATTAAGTACTTGAAGGAAAGTGAAGCAAACGCTGGACTTGGAAGCAATTAAAATTTTTTTGAAGTTGCTTAAGGACCATTTGTAAGTTTCTCTATAATTTTTGTGCTTAATTGTTTACTGTCTTGCATGCTTTGGACAGCCCAAATGGAGGCTTAATTTGAATGGTTTTATTTTTAAGTCCAAGCATACCTTCTTGTAGAAGGCATCGGCCCGTGTGGAGGCATTTATTTGTTTTAAGTGCATTGATATTATTGAGGAGTTTGGGAACATTATATGTGGAAGTTGAAAAATTGAAGTGTTGGTGTGTTGACTTATTCTAGTGCATGCATGGTCGTAGATCACTTAATCGTCCTCTTACTCCTGTAAATCAAAATCTCGAAGTTTCCCTTCGGCATTTAAGAGGTAGTACTAGGGATAGTCATCCTAATTTTCCAAAATTTGATTTTTCATCACCTTTAATGGAAGACCCAATAGATCCAATTGAAGATCCCATTGTAGATCTTGGTTATGTGGATCATAACGGTGTGCACCACCCACCACAAGTTCATATTGTGGATCCTCAAGGTGTGAATCCACCCTTGGGAATACCATGACTAATCAATCCTGTGGTGCAACAACCTAATCTAGGGATGCCAAGGCCAAATGTTGTTCCCCGAGTTGGTGAGCAACAACAACAATATGTTCAAATGGCATACCCTTAACAAGGTCAAATGGCATATCATCAGCAAGGTCAAATGCCATATCCTCCACTCAATCCTTTCAATCCTCTAATGGTCCTTAGGGATCGGTATACTCCAAATCAATATAATGCACCCACTCGCATTCAATTGCCAAACTTCCGTGCTCATCATTATGAGATTAAGGCTTCCACCATTAATATATGCCCTCTTTTCTATGGGTTGAGCAATGAAGAGCCTTATAAACATTTAGATGAGTTCTTGGAAGTTTGTTCCACCGTGAAAATCACGGATGTTCCGGAAGAAGTCCTAAAAATGAAGCTTTTTTCTTTCACTCTTCGGGATAAAGTTAAATATTGGTTTAACAACTTGCGGTCAAATACAATCACCTCTTGGGCACAATTGCAACAAGAGTTCCTAAAAAAGTACTATCCCGCGAGTCGAACTGATTCAATAAGAACTTCCATTCGTGAATTTAAACAAGAAGAAGGAGAACCCCTTCATGAAGCATGGGAACGTTTGAATGACTTGCTACGGAAGTGTCCACATCATGACATTCCGAAGTAGCAATTAGTTCAATATATCTTTTCAAGTTTATCCGATGCCAATAAGGGCATTGTTGATGCTTCTTGTGGTGGAAGCTACATAGAAAGAAATGAAGATGAAATTTGGCTTCTTTTCGAAAAAATGAGTGAAAACTCAATGCATAGATCTTTATCTTCTAAGGGTGGTCACTTAGCAAATGTGGGAAGAAAGAAAGCTCTAAATCAAATAGACTCTTCCATGGAAAATTGCCGCCGAGGTCAAAAATCTTACTCAAAGGTTTGATAAATTCCTTTTGAATCAAGGTCCGGCAATTCAATCTTATCCTTACCATTCCGGTGAAATGTGCATGACTTGTTCTAGTTACACTCACCATACTTCAAATTGCCCTCTTGGACAAATCATACCAAGTGAGTCTCAAGAACAAGCAAATGCAGCTTTTATTCATCAAGGGAATAACCCTTATTCCAATACTTACAATCCGAGGTGGAAAAATCATCCAAACTTTGCATAGAGAAATCAAGGAGACGGTGCAAACCCTCCTCAAACTCAAGGTTACCAAGTAAAATATGTTCCTCCACATCTTCAAAATCAAAATCAGAATTCTCAAGGTTACCGTCCTTCATTCTATCCTCAGAATGTGAATCAATACTCTCATCCTCAAGCATCGAATTCTCAATCTTACTCTCATCCTCAAGCATCAAATTCTCAATCCTACTCTAATCCAAATTAAGCATCTCCTAAGAGTTCCGCTTTTGAGGACAAGGTCTTGTAAGCCTTAGGTGATCTTCGAAAAGATAATCAATTGTTTCATTCTCACTCTCAATCAATTGCAAAGCTTGAAACTCAAATCAGACAATTAGCTAATTCTTTAAATGTGAGAGAGAAAGGTAAGTTGCCTAGTCAAACTGAGACAAATCCTAAAGGGCAATTAATGACGCAAGCAAGTCCTTCATCAGAATTCTCTAAAAATGAGCAAGTTCAAGCAATTACTACCTTAAGGAGTGGTAGGAAAGTGGATAATAAGGTAGAGGTACCTAAGGAGGATAGTGAATTGACACAACATAGTGGTTGCATCCATCCCATTAAAATCCTATTCTTACTCCCTTGGATGCTAGTGGTTCCAAA